GCAAGCAGTTGCTCCGATACGAGACGGTCTTCAGAGACAAAATTGAGCAGATTTCCCGAGCGTACCAGCAGCTGAGCAGCCTTAACATCCTGGACACGCTTGAGAGCGAGAGCGAGCCGAGTGATTACAATGCTGTGGACGTGGTCCAGCCTCTCCTCTTTGCCCTGCAAGTGGGCATCGCCACCTTGCTTGAGCACTGGGGTGTCGAAGCCGACGCCATGCTGGGACACTCTGTTGGCGAGGTGGCAGCGGCTCACTGCTCGGGCCTCCTGGCCCTAGAGGATGCCCTCAAAGTCATCTACTTCCGTAGCGTTTTCCAGGGTGAAGTGACAGGGGGGAAGATGCTGGTGATCAGCAACATGGCCGTATCAGAGGTCACTGCTCTTCTCCCTCAATACTCCGGAAGAGTTTGTCTTGCTGCTTTTAATAGCCCACAGTCATGCACCCTCTCAGGGGATGCAGACGCAATCCAGAGCCTACAGGCTAAGCTGAGCAGCACAGCTAACAGCGGGAACCTCTTCATCCGTGTTCTCGAGGTCCCCGCTGCTTACCACAGCCATATGATGGATCCGATTCTGCCAAAAATCAGAAAGGCGATTGGCTGCTTGGTGGGGAACAAGCTTAGTGCCCAGTTATTCTCAACAGTGACGGGTGAGGAGGCACAGATGGGAGATTTTTGCTCAGGTGATTACTGGGCTAGAAATGTGCGTGAGCCCGTCGCTTTCGATCAGGCAGTCAGATCAGCCAGTCAGGGGAAAAAAAGCACAGTTTTTGTGGAAATAGGTCCAAGACGAGCCCTCCAGAGGAACATCATGGAAACTCTAGGAAATGACACAGCTGTCATAGCCTCGCTGCAGCCAGACAAAGACCACGAGACACTCGCGTCCGTCGTTTCAAAGCTCTTTGAGCTCGGTGTACACATAGACTGGAACACCTTTTACGCAGGCTATGAGGCACCACCGCTGCCTTTCCCGAGATACCAGTTCGATTCCTCAGACAGAGATGTCATCATCAAAGGGGCTCAGAAAAGCACAGGAAGTAATCACCCTGTGCTCTGTGTCAGAGGCAATGAGACCAACACTTTCAGCTGCGACTTGATGTCTGACTCCACCTTCTACCTGAAAGAGCACAAACACAACAAAGTACCCATCATCCCCGGGGCCTTCTATGCCGAGTTGGGTTTGGCCGCATTCATGGCCTGCGCCAAACCAAAAGTCCCTCTCAACTCACTGCAGCTGAGTGTCAATTTTCACAGCCCATTTGTCATTACCCCAAACCCCCTCGAGATGAAGGTGCAGCTGGAGCAAAAGGAGAATGAAGCTAGTTTCACTGTGTTTTCCTCATCAGCCACATACGCATCAGGCGCGGTTGTCCCAAAGAAAGATCGACCAGTCGAAGAGCAGCGCATTGACCTGAAAAGCATCTACAAAAGATGCACATCTGTCGTGACCTATCAGGAATTTTACGGTTACCTTGCTCAAGGAGGCTTTCAATATGGAGAGGTTTTCACAAATAAGGCGAATGTACACTACGGGGAAGATCTGAAAGAGGCTTTTGCCTTGGTCACAGTTCCAGAGGTACTACGGTCTCAGCTGCACGACTACCATGTTCATCCGGTATTGCTGGACTTCCTTATGCAGCTCCTCCCAGTCACAGTAGAGCATATTTTTGCTGGTAGACCGGGATTCCCTGCCAAGATTGGAAGTTTGACCGTGTTAGAACCCTTACAAGATGAGATGACGGTCTACCTGAGGGCAACCGATGTTGGGGAAGACCATTTTGAGGTCTGCGGATGCTATGCTGATCGACATGGTCGGACCTTGGTTGAGGTGAAGCATGTGTTGATCAAATACCTTGGCAGTCGCTCTCATGTTGTGGACGAATACTTCTACCACAATGACTTCAGTGTGATGTCCGAGGGGATCACTAATGAGCCACCTCCAATGGCCTTGGTCTTCTCTGACAACATCGGAATCGCAAAAGCCCTACAGCCCTACTTGGACTCGCGCTCTTGCTACATTTCAATCACTCATGCAAAAGATATCTTGAGCCATGGATTTCCATATCTCTTGGCAAAACTCAACGTAACAGACATTAAAGAGACATTTGATGAGGTCTTGTTCATTTGGGGCAAAGAAAACCTAAATTCGTTCACGCCTGATGATACCCTGCAGAATCTATCAAGTTGCTGTGAAATTTTCCGCCAGATAGTCCTCGAACTCAAGCGAATCCACTTCCCCAACTCCATCCGAGCAGTAACTTACTGTTCATCCGAGCTCACGGTTGATCATATCAATCCAGGCTTTGCCATTGTAGGCATGACAAGGTCCCTTGCTGCAGAAATAGCCGAGCTCTCATTCCAATTGGTTGACATAAGCTCCAGCTGTGCAAAGGACATTGCGGCTCTGTCCGAGGTCCTCAGAGCTTATCCTTGCAGCAAATACCCAGAACTGGTTGTCAGAGACGGGGTGATTTTAAAACCCTCCATTGCACGTACCCCACTTGAACTGACTGACAAATCTGAAGAAACTTTTGCGTCCAACACTTCTGAACCTTGCATCTTTCAGACTGCGGACGCTTTTAAAATGAGTCGCTTGAGTGCCGTTCCTGTCCATGCTGATGTGGAACCAATGAGTGATACGTCAGTTGAAATTTCCCCCACTAAATTGTGTGTCCATTCATCAGAGTATTTCCCTGTCAGTGCCTCACATCTGAACTTTGGCCAGACTCTGTACTGGAACAAACACTCCGCACAGAACCACAAGCTACTCATGCTTGACTTCAGTGGAATCGTTACCAAGGTTGGAAAGGATGTCAGGAAATTAAAAGTGGGAGATTCTGTGGCTTCCTGTTACCCTGTGGTAGCAGCCAGTCGGGTCAGAGTTCCACAGGATGTGTGTTATACAACCAAACAACTTCCCTTCCTTCAAACAACACCTTGTGTATCCTTCTTTGTACTGGCGAGGGAAATCCTTTGTCGGGTCTTTCCAAAAGCCAAGCATCTTCTCGGCATCATATCTCCTATTCCTGATTCCGTTCTGGTCAAGGTTTTGACAATTGCCTCTCAAAAGGCTGGTTGGAACGTGATTGTTGGAACCCACGGCTTATTTAAAGATGCCATTCTAATTGATGCATTGATCGTCCTGCCTCCATACAACAAAAGCTTGATTGCAGAAGTCTGCAACTTTCCTGGTGTCAAGAATGTTGTCCTTGTTCAAGGATCTCAGACACAGCGCTTGCTTGTCCAGGATGAACTCCAGAATGTCAAAGAAAGTGTCCATGTGCAAAAAATCGACATTCCGGTTCTTTTGCAAAAAGGATCCCTGAGCGCTCGAAGGCTAGGTGTTTATCACTGGCTTAAGTCCTTCAATTTGAGCAAAAAGTTTTCCCTCGAAAGCTTCACCTTTCAGTCCAGCACAGCTGACAAAATCCAAAGCCTTTCCTTAGAGAAGCCAGAATCTTACTTCCATGCAAAAAAACTGGCCGTTGTGACACTGGAAAAAGGTCAGACGACCGCGACATCAAACATTCCACTTCTGTGCTCAAAAAAGCAGCTTTTCCGAAAGAGATCAGTGTACATTGTAGTAGGTGGTCTGACCGGACTGGGCTTCGAAACAGTGAAGTTCATCTCACAAAAGGGTGGAGAGGTTGTCATCACCCTCTCGAGGAGCAAACCCTCAGCGGAAGTGCAACAGGAGATCCAAAACATAGAGAAGCAGTGCGGGAACAAAGTTGTCAGCATGCAGTGTGACATTGCTGTGTATGAGCAAGTGCACAAGGTCATCCGCGACATTCAGCTAAAGTTCCAAGGCTATCCAATCAGAGGTGTGTTCCATAGTGCTGTTGTCTTGCATGACGCGCTAATCGAGTCCCTTGACATATCCATCTATGAAGAAGTTCTAAAGCCAAAAGTCAACGGCGTGCTCAACTTGCACAAGGCGACACTGAGCTGCCAGTTAGATTATTTTGTTTGTTATTCCTCCATATCGGCCTTTCTGGGGAACGCGTCACAAACAAACTACGCAGCAGCAAACACGTTCCTGGACTTATTCTGTCAGTACAGGCGCAAGCTCGGCCTGCCAGCGCAGTCAATCAACTGGGGAGCTCTGAACCTGGGACTCCTCTTGAACAAAGAGTCGTTCCATCGCTTCCTGGAGGCCAAGGGGATAATGGTGCTGATGGTGGCTGAGATCCACAAAAGTCTGGAGCAATGCTTGCTGCTCAACCGACCGCAGCAGGCTATTTGCCGCTTTCACTTTCGGAACATCCGCTTTAACATTCTCTCACAAAACGTCGCTCTGACCATGCGGCTGTCAGCGCTGGTGGAGCAAGCCCTCCAAAAGTCCAGAGAGTTGAATTCTCAAAGCATAAACATGGAGGAAGTGCCGGCCAGAGATTATGTCATCTCGCTGTTCAGCAAAACCGTTGGCATGGACATCAGCGAATTGAAAGATGACACGCCGCTTTTGTCTCTCGGCACAGACTCCATGCAGGCCATGACGCTGCAAAACCTCATCTACCAGGACCGAGGCGTCAATGTGCCACTGGTCAAACTATTGGATCCCAATGCCACACTAGCCACTGTGGTGGCCATCCTGAATGAGGGGCGTGACTGTGGAACTCATGACCACAACACTTTTTCATCTGATGATACCAGCACTGTTTCAACAAGATTTTGAGCAAGATCAATGCAGATATTCTTTTTTTTTTTTTTTATTAGACATAGCGGTACCTTAACTGGATCCGTGGCCATGCTCATACATTATTTATATCTCAAATCGACTTTCTCTATCAAGGTGAATGAAAATGCCATGAATACATTCCAGAGCAGGACTCACTTTCCGAGGACAGATTCATTTGGCAAAAAAATCTACACACAAAATGACAATGCAAGTGCAAAACAGAACAGATACCTTTCACTTTCACTGCAAGGTATTCATGAAGTCACTGATGAAGTATGCATCCGCCATATGGTGGCGTGTCTGAAGGTCACGCACAAGTCTACTTTTTGCTTTCAAAATCAATGTGGTCTTTGATTCATGTGGTACCTGTTTATAAAAGTACATAAGTTGCTTACACTGTCGTAATATGTGATTTATTTTGCTTTGAAATAAAATAAATTAAATATTTTGTTGGTAGTCAGTCAGAGCCACGAGGAATGCAAAGTGACCAAATACAAAGTGACCAATGTCCAAGTTGAGTATGAACTTTTACAATCATTCCTGTGTTGTGTGCGTTGCCAACTGCGCAGTGTCTCAATAAAAAGACCAGCGGTCAAACCAAATACATCTGTGGTGTATTGAAGCAACAGTGAGTGAGTGCTTGTCGCTGCATTTTGTCACATTCAGGAGTGACCAATCACAAGACATGGCACAAGACATGCGAGTTAAATAGCAGGCAGAGAGAATACGGTCATGTATAATACTTGAGTTCACATACCTTTTTTTTCGCCATCCCAAAAACAATACAACTGCAGTCCTCAGCGAATGATTTACGTGACGGTCGAGTTGATAGATAAAAACATTCAAGCACTTTATTGCCATTGAAGAATAGGAGAGAAAGAAACTTCTGATTGTCATGGATATGTTGTCGACGTCACAGGACGATCAAATCTTTGCACTGATCGCTGTAATTACAATCAGATTAAAGAGCTGTTCACTCAGGCGTCATTGCTTTTTGCATTTATACATTCCAATCCAAAGTTTTTAACAAAAGTTAAACAGGGGTCTCAAAAGTGCTGTGGCCTGAACACAAAAACAGTGAACAATGTGAGTTTCGCAGCAAATATATGATGGTTACACTTTATTCTAATCTTGATGAGAAAAATACTAATTCCTCATGACGTTATTATTTGTCACAAAACTTTCCAAGGCTACCACTGTCATGTTTGGGTCCAGTAGCCTAACCAATGGTATAGTTACACTCGTCTCTTGAAATATCTTATTCTGAAGTGTCATGGCCAACATCGAGTCAACGCCCAGCGAATCCAGAGTGGCATTGTCATCCAACTCGTCCTCAGCAAGGTTTCTAATGTCGCCGATGATCCTTCTCACGCTTTCATGTGGGGAAGACGATTGCCGAACTGGTGGCTCAATGCTCCCACTGTCCTTTAGCTCTACTTCCGCCAAAGCTGAGAGTCGTTCCCTGAGGGAGGCGTTTTTAAAGTTAAACTTGCATACGAGTTGCTGAGGTCTGTTGGTGAGAAGGACCTTGGCGAGAGCTTCGTGAATCTCTCCCACGTCCATGACCATCAGCCCTTTGCTCTCCAGATGTTTTTGGACATGTTTTTTGTTGAACAGGAGGCCGAGGTTCAGAGGACCCCAGTTGATGGACTGTCCGGCCAGACCGAGGTTCCTCCGGTAAAGACAAAAGGTGTCAAGGAACGAATTGGCTGCTGCATAGTTGGACTGCGACTCATTGCCAAGAAGTGATGAGATGGAGGAGTAACAGACAAAGAAGTCAAGTTTTTTGTGGAGCGTGGCATTGTGAAGATTCAGGGCGCCGCTCACTTTGGGCTGCAGTACTTTCTGCAAGAGGGACGCATTCAGAATTTCTATGGGCGCATCGTGGAGCACTGCAGCGCTGTGAAAAATTCCTTTGATGGGACAACAACTCATTTCAGTCTTTGAGATGGCTTCCACCACTTCTTGCAACACTGAAACATCACACTGAAAGTTCACGATGGTGATGTTGTACCTCTTCTGGATGAGATCCAGTTCAGAATGCGTTTCCCGAGTTGGCATGCGTCTGGACAGCGTCACAATACAACCGCCGCCGTTGCAGGCGATGAACTTAACAGTCTCGAGACCCAAACCGGTGAGGCCTCCAGTTACGATATAAGTACAGTGTTTTTTAAAGAGCTGTCTCGGTTTGCTCAGCAGCACGATGTCAGACAACTGGCAGTTAGGCGTTCTCTGATCCAAAACCACTTGTCGCACCGTCTTGGAGACAAAGTACGACTCGTCAGCCGGAGCTTTTGCCGTGCTTGAGATCTGAAAGGTATCCCTTTTAACAGGCAGAGACGCTCGATCAAAGCCGAGCGTCGTGAGCCACTTCAAGATGGACGCTCCTTGCGCTTTGAGGTAAACTCTTTGAAGAACACGAGTCACATGGAGAACATGCACATGGAAGAAGTGACTCTTGAACGCAAACCCGTTTTTCCAGCGTGGAGATGACTGGTACGTTCCGCACACAAACACAGCATGTCGCTCATGGCCGTCATCTTCGTTTAAGTCTTGCCAAGAGTCGTCATATGGAGGCAGGAAGACAAAGGCTCGGAATGGATCAGGACTCATCTTTTGCTTTGACAAATGGGGTAAACAGGACACATTCCAGCCTGACCTGTTTGCTGTCAATGCGAGAACTTTGAGCAATACAGAAGCTAAGTCTGGAGTGATGATGGCCAATTTGTTCTGTTGTTGTGGTTTCACAGTGGGAAGAGTGCGCTGCAGAAGCTCCCATGCCAAGATGAAGAAGGACACGCTTGGACATTCTTCCAGGAACGGAAGTTTCTTGGTGTCATAACACACAGATTCTGGAATGACGACCCTCGTTGCTGATGCAGACGGGTAACTTGTCGTAATGCGGTCACCCACTTTCAGGCTGCAAACATCTTTCCCGACAGCCGTCACAATGCCGCTATAGTCGAGAGCAAGCAGTGTGTGATGGTGCGCGGTGCAATTGTTCCAATACAACGTCTCTCCAAAATCCAGGTGTGAAAGTGTCACCGGGAAGTAATCTGATGAATGGACACAGATATTTGTTAACTGTACCTCAACCGATTTATCCACAACGCTGCTGTCATTCGTGTCATTGGGGCAAGCAGTCAAGCCTTCCACTCTGTAAGGATGACTGGTCTGTAGGATAAAACCTCTCACTGATTGTATGTCACCTGTAAATGATACTTTGTCGGCTACGTGCGTACGAGTTAACCACGGTATCGACACCTGCCCGTGACCAACAATGACTTCCGATTGTGTGCAAGAGTTGATGACGCCAACTAAAGATTCAATGTCCGTTCCGGTTAGAGACATTAGGTCAATGAGCTGAAAAAAGATACCGGGCACTTCTGCCGCACAAGCTCTCATCATACCGGACAGCACAAAACCAGAACTCACATAGTCTACAATCATCTCCGTGGACCTGTAGGTTATAACACGTACAGTGCAAGAATGTTGGCTTTCCTTTAAAGTTAAAATAACCTGTCGGAATGACTCGCAGCAAGCCACCAAGCAGTCCAGCGTTCTATCAGCTGATAAGTGACTGAGATCTTCCGCGGCCCAGATGAAGACAACATCTCTCATGCTGTTGCCAAGAAAGTCTCGGAGTTGGCCTGGCGTCCAGTGATTTCTGTCCTTCACGAAGGACGACTCCGGGTCCAAGTATGGCCCAAGTGCTTCAGCAATGCCGAGCTTGTCTGAAAAAACCAATGCCCTTATCTTCCTGTCAACGTTTATCTTACTTGTGATGGGGACGATTTCATTATGGAAAAACACCGATTGCGGAGCAGGCAAACCACCACCCAAAAACGTGATCCGTACCTCCTGAAGTTCCACCAGGACTTTCCCATCTTTGGCAGCAAAGCAACCGCACAATTTCAGGAAGTCTGGCTTCTCTTCAGTTGCACGCATGTAAATAAACATCTCCTCTTGAGGTGGTCCTGAAATGACAATGCTGCCAATAGCCGATGGGAATCCCTGCTTGACTGAGAGACGCCTCATGGCTCCAACAGCAGTCATTTGCAAGAAGTAGTCCAACAATACGGGATGGATGAAGAAATCGTGGAGATGCTTCAAGAGTTCTTTTGGGACATGGATTGCTGTCACAGCTTCTTTAAATTCATCACCAAAATGCACATTATCCAGCTGTTTGAAAACGGGGCCATAATCAAATCCCGCTCTAGAAAGAATGGAGTAAAATTCGGTGGTTGTTACAATCAAACTGCACCTTTTAAAGATTCCCTCCGGACAAATATTTGGTTCCTCGAATACAGCCGGTCCATCTGTGCACTTGAAGGTACCTGAGGCGTGAGTGGCAGCAGGGGAGTTTATCGTAAAGACACCGCTAGTTTCTTCGAGCCTCACTTTCAATTGGTGATTGTCAGTGATGAGCAGATTGTGGAATGCAACACTGAGCTGGATGAAGGAGATGGGCCTCTTGGGTTTCAAATGGGCCACCGCAGAAGCGAAAGCCAGCTCCACGTAGAAAGCGCCGGGCACGATGGCAATGCCATTGTGTTTGTGTTCCAAGAGATATGGCGCGGTCTCCACCGTCAGATTGCATACGTACTCGTTGTTGTTTTCCCTTATCTGGGATATCAGCAGATGTGGTGAAGAAGACCAGTCATATCCTTGTCTGACATCCTCAAAGTTCATCTCTTTCTTTGTGCTGTCAAAATGATAGACTGGGAACACCGTGGGTGGTGTTTTATAGCCTTGGTAAAACTCCTGCCAGTGCATGTTGACACCCAGTTCGAATAGTTTCCCCACTGTCGACAAGATGGTTTGATGTTCTTTCTGCGGTTCAACAGAGGGGAGAACAATAACGTCCTTTCCTAAAGTTTCGTGGATGTGTCTTTGAAGAGCCCTACGAGGTCCAATCTCCACAAAGACCACGCTTCTCCTTGACTGCTTATCCCTTGTGACAGCATGCAGCGCTCGCTCAAACAAAACTGGTTCCCTGATGTTCTTTGCCCAGTAGCTACCAGTTACAAAGTCACCACACGCATACTTTTCTCCTGTCACGGTGGAAAATAGTTTGCATTCCATGTTGTTGACAGCCAAACAATCTAAATTACTCTGAATGTCTTCAAGGATCGGATCCATTAGATGACTGTGGTACGCCGCTGGAACATCTAAAATATGAAGAAAGATATTCTCATCGACATACATCCTGGTGAGTTTGTCACGGAGGACCTCGACGGTTTCCTCATCTCCAGACAAAGTGCAAAACTCCGGGCTGTTGAAGGCAGCCACGCAAACATTCTCTGAGAAATCCTGAAGGATTCTCAGCACCTTTTCCACAAGTATGTTCCCCACCACAAGCATCTTTCCAACGGTGGCCCTACTTTGAAGCACACTGCGGTGGTACACGACTTTGACAGCATCTTCAAGACACAAGAGACCAGAGCAGTGAGCAGCAGCGACCTCGCCTAAGGAGTGCCCTAGAACCGTGTCGGGTTTGATGCCCCAGTGCTTCAAGAGAGCTGCTATGGCCACCTGAAGAGCAAAAAGTAGAGGCTGGACAACGTCCGGCTGACCCAGGGCATTCATGTCACGCTCTCCAGAAAGCCACTGACTGATTCTGATATGTTGGTTCCTCTTCTGAAAGAGGACTTCCACCTCTCGCACCTTGTCTTTGAAAAGAGGAATGGTGCTAAAGAGCTGCCCGCACATGCCTTTAAACGCAACGCCGTTTCCACTGAACACAAACACCACCGCAGCGTTCGACTTTGTCGACGCCACTTTTGCTTTCAATGAAGACGCCAGCCGATGCTGTAAATCGTCGAGGGATGACATGACGATAGCCCTGCGGTATTTGTGCTTTGCGTGGCTCCGTCCGCAGGCTGAGGTGTAGCATAATGCCTGCGCGTCAGCTGTTTGACCGTCGAGAAGCCTTTTGTGGATATCAGTGAGGCATCGGATTAAGGATTTCTCAGAGGCTGCTGATGTTACAAAAAGGCTGGGTCCATCTTTTGGGATCTGTGCGAGATGTGTCGTCTGCTTAAACTCTCTTACAATGACGTGAGCATTTGTGCCTCCAAACCCAAAGCTGTTGATCCCAGCTACTCTTTTCCACAAACCATTGCTCCCCCACTTTTCAGCTTTTGTCGGAATACTAATTCTCATGACCTCAACATCTATGCCAGAACGGTCTTGGGAGTAGAAAACAGACGGAACGATGGTTTGGTACTTCATCATGAGAAGCACCTTGATGAGTCCGGCCATCCCGGCCGCAGATTCTGTGTGTCCGATATTTCCCTTCACAGAGCCGATCCGCAGAGAGTCTATACTGCCGTGTCTGGATTGGGAGAGCACGTTTGCGATGCTTGTTGCCTCTGTCAGATCTCCCACAGGGGTTCCAGTTCCATGAGCCTCGATATACTGGACATCGGCTAGGTCACACTCTGAGTATATTTGGTGCAGCAGCTCCTTTTGTTGATTCAAGGATGGCTTGGTGATGGGTGACACCGAATGTCCATCTTGGTTAACGGCCGTTTTGGCGATGATACCCCAGATTTTGTTGCAGTCCTGTAACGCCTGTAAATTACACAATGCTAAATACTCTAAGATAGACTTTCTGTCACGTAGGATATGATCATCGTAAGAGATGAGAGTGGAGACAAATGGACTCTCCTTGGTTGTTGAACATGTTTTACCCCAACCAAACTTGACAATCAACAAGCCCCAAGTGAACAAGACCGTGTACTTTTCGCATCAGTGTATTTTGCTCAGGTATATTCTCATCTATTTTTTTTTAGAACGCCTAAAAGTGAAGCACAGACTGAGAACATCTACAAAAAGTCAGATCAGGTGTAAACTTGACTCAGTAAGGACGCTTTTCAAAACTCACATTTTTGAGCGGCCTAAGAAGAACGACGCCACAGCCCTCGCCTCTGCCGTAGCCATCTGCTCGGTTGGAGAAGGGCTTGCTGGTGCCTTCGGGTGAAATCATCCTTGCCTTGCTGAGGGCCACAAACACTCGGGGCTCCAAAATGCAGTTGACACCTCCGCACAGTGCCATCTCACAATCCCCTGCTCAAAAACAGATAAAGATTCAACTATTTTAATATAATGAAAAAGTACATTAACTATCTCGTGTTTAACTCATTCACTCCAAAAGACGTTTTTAAACGTCTTTTCAGACTTAGTCTAGAATTAGCGAACTATCTCATGTTTAATAATAAATAAGTCGAGATGCCTGAAAAATCTACTTGAGCATCGTAACAGAGTATTTATATGTACAGTATAGCTGGTACTGAATGAGTTCATAATAAATAAGTCGAGATGCCTGAAAAATCTATTTGAGCATCGTAACAGAGTATTTATATGTACAGTATACCTTGTCTTATCGCCTGACAAGCTACATGCAGAGCCACCAGGGAAGAGGAACATGCACTGTCCAAGGCAAATGACGGCCCAGTGAGATTGAAGACAAAGGAGATCCTGTTGGCTGCCAGGCTCATGGCCGTCCCTGTGGCGTTGTAGTGACTTATGGAGGCGGGGCTGTTACTCAGCAGCATTTCGAAGTCTCGGTTCATTAGACCTGCAACGGCAGTCGGATTCGTTGTTCAAATTGTGCGCTTGTATTTTTGTTGTACTTTGCGTGAAAATTGCTGCTGACAATTTACTGTTCCCTCGTAGGATTAATAAAGTATCTACTGTAGAGTATTTCACAAAAGTGGAGTTTTTACATTCAGCTCTTGCCCAACTAAAGTGAAATTTCCAGCGATGAGTTTGAGAACGTGGGGGGCATAGCACCAAATTAAAAAAAAAAAAATCATGCTGCACAATCACACTTGAGTCACATGACACGGGTTTTAAAATGGTTCATTGGGCACAATCGGGATTTTTTTCACTTAGCGTTATACTTTTGTTGGCAGAGGTTTGAATAAATATAGTTGTGTGTCGGGTTATTTGAATTGGAAAGTAAACGTACACGACTGTTATACAAGCAGTCCACTGTTTTCATCACAGCAAAGTATCATTTCTTTGATGTTATGCCGTGAACGGACATTTTTTTTATGTGGAATGTAAATAACTTTTGTGAGATACTATATCTATCCATCTGAGTGTCTTATGAGCTACTTGACGTGGTCACCGATATAAACTCCAGTTCTGCTTCCACTGATGCCTTCCATAGGGACGCCGGCATCCTCCAAGGCCCTGAAGGTGCACTGAAGGAGCAGTTTGTGCTGAGGGTCCATGACATCCGCCTCTGCCTCGGCAATACCAAAAAAATTGTGGTCAAACTCGTTCAACCTGAAATGGACACCGGCAGTCATCATCTCATGATCTCATCATGCTCAAACATTATTTGCACATTTGGTCAAAGTTGAGTCATGAATGTGATTATTATTACAAATATTATTCTGCTCACCCGTCTATAAGAGCAGCTTTGGTGGTTTGCATCTTTCCGGGTTTGCTGTCATCAGGATCATACCAGGAATCCTTGTCAAACCTCTCGGCTGGAATATCCACAACACAGTTCTCCCCCTCTGACAGAACCCGCCAAAAATTATCCAAGCCTTCACCTAAAAACCACGTCACGACAAATAAAGCATGATCAAAAACATCAACTCTCAGTATGGACTTAAAGGATTTTATTAGCCGTTCATCGCCCCAATTTTAATATATTTCAAAGAAACTGTTTTTTTAAACTCGCATCAATTCTTGTTATTAGTATGAAATGTCCAGTGTTTATTTATTTATTTATTTTTTTACAGTTCACTCCTTATACCAAAATGTAATTCTTCTCCATGGTCTACAGAGGGTAGTACTGTATCTCCAGTTATGAAATTCAAAATTGTCATTCATTGGTTGCATTGGATTCCAGTAAGGCATCAAACGCCTATTTTAGAATATTACATGAAATTGCTCCCTAATTAGGGGAGCAGTGGTCTTAATGGAAATTTAAGACCATTTATCAAAGGAGCAATCAGGTGGAAGACATAAAATCCCCAAATTTGTTTGAGCCTTGACTGAAACCCATTTCAACCAAATTGTATGATACATGTCGGTGAATAACAAGGAATTAAAATTAATTATTACCCACATAATTTTTAATTTACGTCAGTAAAAATAAAAAAATCCAAATGTTGCCCCTTTTCTCTTTATCTCAGTGCAGATCAATCAGCCCGATCCTGGTCAAAGTAATTTGAATTTGTTTTTGCTCTTGCTGTTATGTTACTAGGTTTACAAAAAGTCATATTCACGGGTCAAAAGTGGCCGCTATTTAATCAAAAGGTACAATTTGATGTGAATAATTTTAAATTGATATACCGAAGTAGCAGAAGTTGTAAATTACGCAACAATCAAACAAACAAAAAAATGTGCACAGTTTCATCATATTTGCATTAACACAGCCAAAAAGGAGAATATAAATCCATCAGAGTACCTCCAGGGAAATTGCATCCAATCCCGATGACGGCAACATCATCTTCGGCATCCATTATGTTCTTTTTTTCCATGTGAAGCTTCGATCTTCATGTCAGAAGAAGTGCTCCTTTTTCCCCCACTTATAAACTCTCAAGAGGCGGGGCAACTAAAGACAACTCAACAATGTGCCTAATGTGTGACAGTGGAACTAATCGCGGGGTCACTAATGACAGTCAATTACGTGTCATGGATGATACCTTCAATTCAAGATGAACGACCATAGTCAGTTGGGAGTAACAGTGACCTTTATTTGAGCAACTCATATAATCACCAATCCAGGGGGAAATGGAGGGCACTTCAATAAATAAAAGTAGCTCTTCGAAAGTATGATGCTACGAAAGCACCCCGGTCTATCCAAAATTGTGCCCTCTAGTCGAGGTACCCGAAGCTTCCGTGGCGAAGAAACAGAAGCACCGCTTATCAGAACGTGTGTGTTTTGTTGTTCGTTGTCCTTGAAATGAGGTTACTTTGTCATTCAATCCAACCCCAACATTTCATGGAATTAAATCTAAAAAAAGGACTAGAAAAAGCAGCCGGGAGTTGTGAATAAAATCCAGCGTCCTGGGTTGGTCCAGTATGTACAGTGCCACCTCGCTGTACTGCCCACGACATGATGACCGTACAGTACAAGGAGGTGGGAGGTATGTTGGTATCTTACTGGTCCAGCGGTTTTCCCTCCAGAACCATTTGGATCTCTTTGGCGTCCAAAGTCTCATACCTGAGGAGGGCGTCGGCGAGCTTCTCGTGCTCCTTTTTGTACATCTTCAGTAGGCTCTTGGCCCGCTCGTACGAGTCCTGCAATAACAGCCGTATTCCGATTTGTAAGGGGCTTCAGACAACAGGTTTGACAAAACAAATACAGGGCATTCCAAAAAAGGGGAAATCAATTGAAATATTAATATCTAGGTAAATACAAGGCAAATGAAATTATACAGGCTTAATGTTGTTAGCAATGCTAGTTAGCCATGTTAAATCAACAATACCCTGCAGCATTCAGAGAGCTACTTATGTGAAACATTACAAGCACTTTCATCCAAAATTGGAGAACCAAAAAATATTTAAATTTTGACTTCTGTCAAAGCCACACACCTTCAACAGCATCCTAACTTCCTGTTCGATGGCGGCTTGTGTCTCGGGACTTTGTTTGGAAACATCACCGTAGGTCATCACGCCGAGCTGTTAGGGAAAAAAAAAAAAACGGGCACACGTGTGACATTTCTCATCCACTTAATAGGCTGCTTATGAAAATGCTGACTGACGAATTGACCTTGTCACTCATGCCAAACCTGGTCACCATCAGATTAGCAATTTTGGTCGCCCCGTCAAAGTCGCTCGATGCACCTGAAATGGGAGGATTCAAATGAGATGTCATTGGAGGTGTCCGTTTACGGAGCAGGTGGCCAAGAGGGCCTAACATGACAAGTGTCCGGGTATGCCCGCCTGTGGTGATGTAGTCGTCTCTGAAGATGAGCTCCTCCGCCACTCGCCCGCCCATACTGACATCCATCTGGGCAAGCAACTGCGCCCTGGTCTCGCTCCAGCGGTCATTTTCTGGGAGCAGGGACACCTGGGGGGACAGTGACGAGAAGAGATGCGATGACGAGAGGACATTAGGACAAGTGGAGAGGATGAGAATATGTTTGGATAATGAGAAAACGAGGACAAAAAAAAGAAGAGATGAGTACACTTCGTACATTTAACACACTGCAAAAGTGCGTCCCATGCCTTTGTGTCTGGTCGCTACTAAGGTAGGCAGTGATTTCCTTTTCACAAACTATTCTACTCTAGTTTTCTGTTTTGTTTATGATAGGGGCCGTCATGGCTGTTATTCATCATGGCATGCGTGTCCGTGTGCATTCGAATGCGCGCTTGCTCGCTGATGCGTGCAAGTGCGGTATCGGGTCGATCGCGAGAGTTGGTTGCTTACAAAGTAGATTTTTGGTCAGAACAGGTTGGGCACCTTTGCTCTCGATTAACATACACAACACTTTTAAATATAAATGACTAATGAAGTCAATAAATGAACATTTAACATCGATTTTTACACTCATCAAAAGGCACAGAAGACATGTGGAAACACGGTGTCCTTTTTTTCTGACTGACATGTCCAAGTGTGGGTCCCCGTGGCATAATGGTAGCCTTGTTGATGGGCATGGCGTCCTTGGTGTAGTAAGCCACGATGGCGTGTCCTGACTCGTGATAGGCCGTGATGGTCTTGTTCTTCTTGTCGATCTCCACGCTCCTCCTCTCGGGGCCTACAATGTACAATGCACCGTTAAGACCCCCGTTTCGTCCCTTCCTACACACCGCCCACTCCACTTCCTCGCTCGCTCACCCATGAGGATCTTGTCCTTGGCGAACTCCAGGTCCTTCATGGTGACCATCTCTTTCCCGTCCACCGCCGCCTTCAAGGCAGCCTGGTTGACCAGGTTTTCCAGCTCGGCGCCCGAGAAACCCACCGTGCCTCGGGCAATAATTTCAGGCTTCACCGCTGCAACACAACAAGGAGCCTTGTTACGCTTGAGTTTGTTAGAATCTCAGCTCACGGGTTCTCTCGCTGCTCGAAGCCCACCAAACATGCAAGTCCACTTACCAGAGTCCACTTTGATCTTGGCCAGGTACCAGTTGAGGATCTCAGTCCGTCCCTTCACGTCGGGTCGGGGGACTGTCACCTGCATGTCGAACCTGCCCGGTCGCACCAGAGCACTGAGGGGGAGCAGAAGAAGATTAACGATCAAAAAAAAAAAAAAAGACAAGATGTGTGGAAATCAACATTTTTTAAACTGCAACCGTACTTATCCAGAGCCTCAGCAAAGTTGGTAGCACCAATGACGATGACGCCCTCATTTGCCTTAAACCTATAAAACAAACAAACAAACATAAAACGCAATCCCATTGACAACATTTTAACGAAAGCATGTGCCGAGTAGGATATAATGTCTCCGTTGGAAATAAAACATCCTTCAGGGGATGACCACTCGAGGCGTTAACTGACCCGTCCATTTCAGCCAGCAGCTGGTTGATAGTTTGCCTGGAGTACGGATGCATGGGAGACTCGATCCTCTTGCCACCGACGCTGTCCAGCTCATCGATGAAGATGACGCAAGGTGCGTTGGCTTTGGCCTCCTCTGGAAATACAAACACAAGACAAGAGACCATTGCATAATGTTTCGAAATCATAGGCACCAGGATTACGCCTGGATAGGCAGAAAAGTGAGAGGCTCCGTCTGACCTCAACTACATTTCATTACTTTGATACTGTCTTTAAATTGTATCTGGCCCTTTGTGGCCAACTTTTAAAATCACCAGTGAAGTCATTTTCCATGCTTTTCCAATGGCTCTACTTTGTCACATGACATTCAGCGGACTGTTTACTCGTACTACCATCAGAGATCGCTTGAGCTTTACCCCCTAGAAGTACGTGTATGTTACATATGTATGGTGTGGTGGATTCGTATGGCGGTCAATAGCTTTCCCTGAAACTCACTGAACAGGTTCCTGATGCGGCTGGCGCCAACTCCCACAAACATCTCGTCAAACTCGGACCCCGAGGCATAGTAGAACGGCACGTCCGCCTCACCGGCGACCGCCCGCGCTAGCAGAGTCTTCCCGGTGCCGGGCGGCCCGACCAGGAGGATCCCTGCAGGAAGATCGATCTCTGAGAACAACAAATTAACGAGAAAAGGCAGAACGTGATGGAAAATGTAACCAGAAATACCTTTGGGCAGCTTTCCACCCAGAACAGTGAACTTGTGGGGGTTCCTGAGGAATTCCACGACATCCTGCAGCTCATTCTTCGCCTCCTCCACTCCCTTGACGTGCTCAAACGTCACATTCTTCATCTGGATGGGGTCGATCGCAGAGTCCAGGCCGGAAGTGGTGCGGAATCTCACTACGACAACACAAACCTGCTCAGTGTTTTGTAATATTTACATAGAATGTAACTACTAGGGCGGGGCAGTGATGAAAAAAAAAAGATAATCAATTATTTTGATCGATAGTGAAACCACAATTAACAGAGACGATTATTAATTGATTTCAAAACTTAGTATTCATTCAACTACCAAAATTCACCCAGAAAATTAATTACAACCAAATAAAAATAATAATATTTTAAAAAGATAGCAATTTAAAAAAAAATCAATTCACATTATAACCGTCTGTTGCTGCTTAAACATCGTAATTGCCCAGCCCTACTCATTGTTTGTGTGTGGCTGTCAGATAATTTGAGAGGAGTAAAAGGGACAAACCAGCATCAGAAAAGGAGCCTTTACCCGAGAGAAAGGGGGCTCTGGACAGACCATAAATGCCCACCAGAAGAAGCACTAACAGGACCAGCCTGGTTCTCCTCAAGGAATCTGCAAACAAAGCACAAGCAAACATGTCAGAGATGGGCATACGCTGGGCAAAAGGGAGTCAGTGGCCTGCCTTGCGTCCTCTGCGTGAAGGCCTGCGATCGCATGAAGCCCTCGGAGAAGCCCAACTTGAAGGTCTCCTCCTGGTTCTGCGGAAGTTTCCTGCTTTTCGTCAGTTGGTCCAGCGACTGAGCTTCTGCTGCCTTTTCCCTCGTCAGAAAACCCTACAAGGAAACACAAGGGATATGAATCATGGAAAAACGCCTCCTTTTAGATCCACTTAAATCAGTTGCTGTCCTTCAAGGAGGCTGGATATAAATCAAGACTACAATCATGGAAGAAAATAAATCTACTAAAAAGGGATGAATAAAATGCGAGGGATCCTGACCTTCATGAAAGCCGGTGTATAGGGATCTGACTCAGTCAGAACATCATCCCCAGATGCCGTCCGTCTGCTCTTTGTTCTGAGAGTCTTGAAACTTCGACTCTGGAGCCACACTGAACGAAGCCACAAGCACAACACAACAAATGACAAAAATATAAATAAAATTATTGCCTCCGTATTGCACTGATGGCGACGTGTTACCTACAAGGTAAAAACTGAAGCTTGGCGCAAACGTCTTGTAGAGGTCTGTGGTTTTGCCCGTGGAATATTGGCGAACCAAAAAGTTTTCTCTGTGCAAACCCTGTGATGAACCATAATAATTGGATCATATCATATATATTGTTTTAATGTGGACAAAAGGGGAGCCAGAGAGGGTCACTCCATCAGCACTGAGAAACTAACCGTGCTTGTTGTGAAAGAAGCTGTGTGCGGAAACGTAACTCGTGCTCCAAGTCGAAGGGACGTTAGGCGCGCCCTCCATTCCCAGTGTGGGCAGCAACCTGTCCAGCAGCTCGTCTAGGTGGCGGCCTCGAATGTCTGACACACCCAGATCACGAAGACTCGCGTTGGGCTACAAGAGAGGGAAGAAAATGTTCTCCTTATGAAGCAAATATTGTGATCACATTACTGTGATCAAGGTGCACCCATAATTCCAAACTAACCTCTTTTCCATGTGCAGTGTGCTCTGGGCTGAAGTCTTTGTGCAGGGTCGGCACTGATGCCATGGCTGTGTTCTTCAGTGAGTGGAGGGCGCTGATGAGCTGGTTGAGGGGCACAATCATCTGGTGGGGGGGTTGGAAAGAAATGACATACTCAAAACACTGTAAACACACATGGAACTACATTATATGTCACGTTAAGCACTTTAATGTGACTTCACAGCAATTGCTGGTGGTTGGGTAACCTTTAAGTGGGCACCTGTCATCTTATTTAACACTCTTTATTTCAGAGTACGAACACTTATTGTACACGAATATATACTCAAAAAAAATCTCAAGTAAAGAAGTTCAATCAATACTTCCTTTACGACTTTCTTTTTTTGTGCACTATTTATACTTTTAAGCAAATAGAGCGTATGAGTACTTTCTGCATGAAATTACATCATACAGTTTTCTACGTGACTCTTCGTCCACTAATGACAGTTGTGTAACCTTAAGTTGGCGACCGTTATTTTACTTAAAGTTATTATTCCCCTTTTTGGGTAAACTTGACAGGTGTAAAAATCAAGCCCTACTCCCCGATTTTGTATAAACCGACAACGCCGTGACGTACGCATGGTCTGACCGTGACAAGATCCCACGCGCTAATGCTAACGTTAGCCAAACAGCAACAATAGCCCTGACAATTTAACAAGTATACACAGCGGTACAGTTATTAATGCAGCAAATAATTCGTCTCCAGGCGACCACAATGATATTCACACGATATTATAGCTATGAAATATGAGCTAACTCGCGAAGGCAAAAGGCAGCATTTCACTTACCTGCTGTGGCTGAAACGACGACAGGGAAAACATTTTGGCTGGTTTAAAACACAAATGTAGAACGAAAATGAAAAGATCCGCGTGCTTTTAAGGAAACGCGTAACCCCGAGTCGGTGTCTTGTTGTTTTTGTTGCTACAAAACTTTTGGCTGCTTTTAGCTGAAACGCCGAACGACCACCCCCTTCGGCATTCGCTGTTGATGAAAAGAATTTATAAAATGACGTCACTCAAACTACATTGTACAGTGAAATTAAAAAATGAGAATTTCCATTCACGTTCTATGTTCTTCGAAGAGTTGATAGTTTAAAATTAAACTCTGTTGAATTAATATAAAAAATATAATTAATATAAAAAACCTTTTAAAATTTCACTCTGACATATGTAAAAGCAACAAAGCAAAGAAGGCATCCTTCTTTGATCTGTGATTTTCACTGTCATACATTTAAGATGATTTCGATAAAGATTTTTAAAAATGGCATTTTCGGTCCGGTGAGCCAGTGGTGAGCATGTCGACGTCACAGTGCAGAGGTTGCGGGTTCGATCCCAGCTCCGGCCTTCCTGTGTGGAGTTTGTATGTTCTCCCCGGGCCTGCGTGGGTTTTCTCCGGGTACTCCGGTTTGCTCCCACATTCCCAAAAACATGCATAGCAGGCTGATTCAACATTCTAAATTGTCCCTAGGTGTCAGTGTGAGCGTGGCTGGTTGTTCGTCTCTGTGTGCCCTGTGATTGGCTGGCAACCGGTTCAGGGTGTCCCCCGCCTACTGCCCGAAGATAGCTGGGATAGGCTCCAGCACGCTCCGCGACCCTTGTGAGGATGAAGCGGATCAGAAATGGATGGATGGATGGATGGATGGATGGATGGATTTTAACAGTCCAAAATAGCGTCTTTTTGCTTATGTTTAAGATAAACTTTAATTTCAGCCTGTCACAAGGGAAACTCTTGCCTCGCCAATTTGCCTGAGTGAAAAGGTTTTCAACGGTTTTTTTTAATGAAACAAATAGTACTGTAAGGATACATACGTTAAACTAAAATTTAACTTTAATTGGGAACATTTCCGATGAGATTCGAAAGCACAAAAATTCCAGTAACTTTATGAACAGGCACCGCTATGTCTACCTCAATAGAGGTTAGAGGACCCTAAGAGAACGCTGCTGAATTCAAATTTCAAAACAAACTTCAACTGTTGATCCAACATGCAAGTGTTTATTTTACGCTAGTTGGTAGCAATTACAGGCACGATCGCACGTAGGTAAGAACCTAAAAAGATGGACCCAGAGGAAAAGCACATATCTGCTCCCAATTCTAGAGTTACAGGGTCTGTTCAGCTGCCGAAGATTGAAGATTTCCTTAGTTTGAAACCTATCAGCCGCGGTGCTTTTGGCAAAGTTTACCTTGCACGGAAGAAATGCAACTCCCGATTATATGCCATTAAGGTTCGTGCATATTTGCTTTGACTGTATCGAAACTATTTGCAGCCGATATATTAAGTTGCAATTGACTGCTTCTAGGTCATGAATAAAGCGGACATGGTCGATAAAAACATGACGGGCCAAATGAAGGCAGAGAGAGATGCACTGGCTTTGAGCAAAAGTCCCTTCGTGGTTCACCTGTTTTATTCTCTCCAGACAGCCACCAAAATCTACCTGGTAAGGCACCAAATACGCAAATCACTCAGCGGTTTCTCTGACCTCAGACTTTTTCCATTGAAGGTGATGGAGTACCTCATTGGAGGGGATGTGAAGTCTCTCCTTCACATTTGTGGATATTTTGACCAGGACATGGCAGTCAAATACGTCTCAGAGGTTGCGCTTGCTTTGGACTATCTCCACCACCATGGCATCATCCACAGGTACAAAACCGGTTCAACCGCTGGGGTGATGTATATACGGAGTGTAAGGCAACCGCCTCTGGAGGCTGCCTACATTAACTGCATTGTGTCACTTTTTGCCTCTTTAGGGATCTAAAGCCCGACAACATGCTCATTTCTAACGAGGGCCACATTAAATTAACTGACTTTGGGCTGTCCAAGGTGAAGCTTGACAGAGGTAAGTCCCAGCAAATTTACAGAAAACCTATTTAAAGGGTACATATGGAAAGTTGACTATTGCTTGTGCAGTGAACCCCTGTTTATCATGGGGCATACATTCCTGACCGCCTGCGATTGATGAAAATATGTAACTATTGATGAAAATATGTAACTATAGAGAGACCAGATTAAAAAAAAACACAATTAAAAAAAAATAGTATTTGTTAATGCCTGTTCTTGCTCGATGTCAAGACATGGGACACAATGAGGGGGCATCACATTTAGGAGAAGATGCTTGCTCAAGCAACTAAAAGGTCAAATTTCCACTATGTCGCCTTTAAATTGTGAGAAAATATACATATATTGTTGCAGCACGTTGTAGCCGACGTGTGCACATTATGAGCATGACGTCTCTGATCCACTGGCGAAAGGACACTTTGATTCTCTCCTCTTTCATCTCAAACTGCTTCAAACAAGAAAGCGTGTGAGGGAAAAGTGGTTTAGACTGCACGACTGTCCGTGTTTTTATGTTATGTGTTGTGTTTATCATTTTACTTCATGTTAACTTTTTTGTAAAGCGCTAATGTTATCTGTTTTGTAAGTTGTTTTTTGACCCCTGCCACTGTTGTGAAAGCGCTATATAAATCAGCATGTATTGTATTGTATATATCTCCTTTTACCATTTTTTTTTTCTTTTCAGAACTGAAACTTACTGATATCCTAAACACACCCTCCGTGCACAAGCCCACAAATTACTCCCGCACGCCGGGTCAAGTCATGTCCTTGATCAGCTCATTTGGTTTTGTGAGTCAATTCCTTCCTTTTTGTTTTTCACTTGATAGTCCCGTTTGTCTGTTTATTGATTTATCATTCCTTGAAACGCAGAACACCCCGGCGGCAGAAACTAAACGCCACTGCAGCACTTCGGCCGTCTCCCGTAGCAAAATGACGCGGACGAATAACTCTCTGGGCTCCCCGTCTGTGATGACAAAGGAGACCATGAGCTCCCCAGCGCACCCCGCCTCGAAGAAAGGTGGTGCTCCCAACGTATTGATTATCCTCAGTCCCGGTTCTCACTCTCTCGCCGTCAAGAAATCTCCACTCTCTGTTCAACGTGACCTTCACTGTGTTCACAGGGCTGTGCGGCTTCATGTTCAGCCCGCATAACCTGGCAGTCAATCTGACGCCCTCGCTGTTGAAAACCAGGAAGCGCTTCGAGACCATGAGTGCGGACAGCACCACCGACACGGAGGGAGGCATCAGCCCCCTGTGGGAGTTTGAGGAGGTCAGATAATGCAAATAATCGTTTGAATGATATGATATCACCGAATGGCTTAGCTTCTGGTTACATTTTTAAAATGCACATGAAAAATAAACCCAGGAGGGTTCTGAGGTCAGCAGCCTCAGGATGCACCGTGCAAATGGGAGAAGGTGCCAACAGAATTTAACACAATGTTTTTTTTTTTTTTAATTAACCCCCATGCCCATGATTCAGGTCTTTAGGAGCATTTCTATCATAATTTTTTCAAAAGTCATCTTCTCACGCTGTATGCATTTTTTAGTAAACTACTTTTTATTTCTCCATTTTGCTTTTAAATGTCTTAAAATCTTCCTTTTTTTTTTATGTCTGAAATTCTTTTGATTCTAAATATTTTGTAACTATGAAGCACGTCGAGTTACGTTAGTGTCTGAAATGCACGATATAAATAAATTGCTTTGTCTTTCCTGTGCTACTTAGAAGGAAAATGAGCCAAACAAAGAGAAGGCAAGAGGACATTTGGAGTCCCCTGTGAAGCTCCACGCGTGCGGCCAATCAAAAACTGGTCCTCGGACCGCCCCGGTGCCACCAGACCTTCCCCCGTCGTCCAAACGGCCATTTTCCGATGTGCAGGTGAGCCCCGAGGCAGTAGAGAGCCTCGCTAAGAAGAGCAACGAGCACTACAAACGATGCCACCACGTTCCCGACGAGACCTTCGCCATTCACACCGGCCTCCCCGGCGCTGGGGAGGTAATTATGCTTTTTAACAAACATCCCAGACACTCATATTATTAGCCATCGTTAGAAAGCTCACAAGTAATTTGACGACGCCATAAAAAGCTTTATAATTTCCGAAAGCTGTCACAAGATGGCGGCGAAGCACTATATGAAGCTCCTCAAAGTCACTTCAGCATAGTTCGCTTGCACCAAGGTGCCGCACGACGGCGCCAAATCTATTTATCCATCGATATTAATGGACGCATCTCTCTCTAGCAGCGGGGTTTGCCGCAGTTTGAGTCTGGACTCTGACGTCTCCAGCGGTGAAACGTCGCCCACCACCGACAGCCGTAATCCAGCAGACCACGTCAGAGCTGCCGAAAATAGCGCCTCACCTTCCCCCGAGAAAGGCGCCGCGTCGTCCCGTCGACAGACCCACTGCTCTTCCTCATCGCCCCGCGCCACGGCAACACCGGTGTCCCTCGGCCGACCCGAGTGCTCCTTCCTGCGGCCCAAGAACGTGGTGGCGTTCCGGAGCTACTGCAGCTCCATCAATCGCTCCAATGTGTCGCGGCTCAGCGTAGGTTCCGCCTTGGACGCGTCCTCGCCCGCCATCTGCCTCGCCACACCGGTTCAGAGGAGGATCAGCTCTGGAAGCTCGCTCTACCAGGTGGGGCATGCGCATTGCGGTGTTTACGCCGCTATAACTCAAATTTGTATTTTACTTGATGTCTTTTCCTTGTAGACTCCTCGGACCATGTCCACCTCGCACACCCCTTACCGTACTCCCAAAAGTGTGCGACGGGGGCCGCCGCCCGCTGAGGGGGCGCCCATTTTAGGGACTCCGGACTATTTGGCCCCGGAGCTGCTTTTGCGGGCCTCTCACGGTAAGAGTGAATGCAGCTTTCTTTGAAATGGTGGCATATATTCTTTGTCCTCTGCAAAGAATGACTTATTCGTGGGGATTCCTGAGTGGGGGGTATATGTATGGATTATAGCCGGCGGGTGTGGGGGATTCACCGTACTTGTACCGTTGTGTCCTGCTGCTTTCACTGATCTCACAGGACTTCTTTGTGAGTTTCAGGGAGGTGTCGATGCGGTAAGTGTGCAAGCAAAGTCATGTTTGTGCCCGCATGTGCCCTCATCATCATCAGTCGGCCTGCTAACACACATTGTCTAATTCTGCCCTGTGATTTTTGGCTCGGCTTGAGCAGGTTGCAAACGTCTGGGCCGTTTAGATCTTCTAACATGGAGCTCACGCAAATACAGTGGCAAAGTGGCAAGTCTCTATCATTTCTGCTCGTCTGGGGGGCTACGTAGTTCAAAGTGGGGGACATTTAGCCACTGATAGAAAACACCTTTTTTTGTTTTTGTAAAATCAATTTCATTTGACTGTGGTGTGACTATCAGCTGTTAAATGGCTTTTCGTCGTTGCTACTTTGAATCACAAAGAGTCAAGCGATGGCATGAATGGCTTTGGGTGGCAGTTCTCTCCCTAAGCACAACAAAGCTGCGCGTTTTGATTTTATTGTTGATTCCACAAGAAATTCAATGTAACATTCCCCCGGGAGTATCATGATTGTTATTGTTGAGTGTCATTGCTGTTTGTCAGCTCCAGGTGAAATTTCAGGATGAGCCTAAAACGCTCCAGAACTTGTACAGGTGAACTCGTAGCCTCAATTGTTCACCTATTTGATGTTTCAGTACTTTTCGCAGAATTTGCTGCAAAATTCACCATAGGCGTTTGAGGCGACATGAACATTTCGACAGAAGCCTTTCTGTGACTCTTCCATTCTCTCTTTTGGAACCTGCTGATGATGTTCTGTGACACTCATAGCTCAGTGGCCATGCCCCTCTCATTACATCCCGTTTGAAGCCTCACCATTTGGCACTGGGCTTGTAGTGTCATCAGCAGGTTGCATCAGAGAGACTGGAAGAGTCACAGAAAGACTTTTTGGATTGATTTTTCAGACTGCATGGTGGACTGGTGGGCGCTTGGCGTGTGTCTGTTCGAGTTCCTCACCGGCGTGCCGCCCTTCAACGATGAGACGCCGCAACTGGTCTTTGAGAATATTCTCAACAGAGGTGGGGGCAATGTTTTTTTTTTTTTTTGTTGTTATTTGATCCACCTGTTCAAATTAAGTTCCGGAAGAATCACTTTAAATCGTCACTTTTTGAAAAAACTCTTTTTTTCAGACATCCCCTGGCCCAAAGGAGATGAGGAGCTGTCGGACAATGCCAGGAACGCCATTGATATCCTCCTGACCATGGATAAGACCAAGCGGGCGGGACTTAAAGGTGCAAACCACCTACAGTTGCTTATCATATTCATAGCTGTCTGACTCTAAAATGAATTGAGGAGCTTCGTTTAGACAAAAGTGGTGCTTTGCCACCATCTGATGGCATCTTCGCTCAAACGAACTATGTTGGGGAAAAAAAGTTGAGGATTTTCATATGGCAGAAGTAGTGCTTTGGCGCCCTCTCGTGGCAGGAAACTGTTGATATGATATAAATTGGTGTTTTGACAAAAAAAATACTGCAGCAATGCACTAACATAAGGAGTTTGTTCGACAAAAACGGTGCATCGCCCAAATCTCGGAGCCAATTCTGTTGAATTGTGTTGAGGTAACTTCACTGAAGACAAAAGTTGCGTACGACAGCCATACTCTGGCTTCTACGGACTATATGTCACACCTCATCCAGACTTCTCCATGGCTTGCCTTTTGAATAATCGCATCTTCCCCCATTCAAACAGAGCTGAAACGCCACCAGTTGTTCGAGGGCTACGACTGGGAGAACCTTCACACGCAGCCCATGCCGTTCATCCCGCAGCCGGAGGACGAGACGGACACGTCCTACTTCGAGGCCAGGAACAACGCGCAGGACATCGTCGTGTCAGCCTTCAGTTTCTAGTCAAGTCAAAACTCATCATCGTTAACTGCAGTAAAGTGTCCTCCCAAAAAAAAAAAAAAAAAAGTTTTATGTGCAATCACTACTTATTTGATGGAAGTATTGTCTTTTTATGTCATGGAACCTGATGTTTTTCAGCTTTCCATTCAAGTATTTTTTTTTTTTCTTTTGTGGAATTTGTTTTAAGTTAGTAAAGGCGGTACTTCCCGAGAACGCTAATAATATATTCAACAATTCTGTATTTTATGTGTCAAAGCAGTGTTCTTGTAAAGATGGTCAATGCTGCTTCCAAATACAAACCTGCTGCTTTTATTGTTAAGTATCCATTGAAAGAGAAAAGCAAATAAAATGTAACAAAAAGGCTGCCCTTCTGCATCATTAAAACAACAACAACAAAAAGAAAGCCATTAAGTTGTGCCTTATGAAACTTTTATTTGAGGCTTGGATTATGACATGCAAACAAACACTCGGCCATATAATTCAGTAGAAACTATCACGTAATCAATACTTTTTTATCATTGAAACATAAATGGCTCTTTGAAAGATAAGCGCTTTTGCCCACGCCAATCTTGGTAAATATACTTTTCAATGACGCGATAATGCAATTAAAATATTGCATTTGAACCTGCAAACTGAAGAGTTGTCACTATATTAGAACACACAAGACATAAAAACAATTTCTGGTAGCAGTGCAAGCAAATGAGATTTCGCTTGGGTTGAATGGATGTACTGGATTCGTCGTAGATATGATTTGGTCCATTTGCTACATGTGCACCTAATGACATCGAGGCACTTCTATGTGAAGACCAGCAGGACGAACCTAAATGCCGCACGATTGTTTAGCTGCTAAAAGCAATAAATACGAACTTACTAACATTTAGAGATGACAACATTTTCAAAGGCGGAAATATCCCATGGAAATAAAGAAGACATTTTTGAACGGGACTTTGTTGGCATTTTTTGGATGCCGAGGGGGTGCGTTTGCATAATTTCTTAATTTCTTAACATGATGGGAATTGATTGGTGAGTATTTGATACAATTTTACTCCAAAACTACATGCATTGTAATGTTTATGCTTGAATATGATACTTTCTCAATTAACTGCCGTCAGTTGCCATGAAATGTCTCCCAATTCGGACTATTTCCCAAATTCCCCCATTTGACTTCTCATGGAAATCAAGGGAAATGTTTTTTTGCAAATCTATCAACGCCATAATTACAAAGAATGTCACATGGTACAGTATTTATGCATCTTACTATTACACGACTAAATTCTTAACATTTTTTTTTCCTGTGTGTGTGTTTTAGCAGCATTGCTCCGGGCGACTAAAGTGAAAGATTAAAATCACATCAAGCTCAAGACAGTATCAGGCCCGCTTTGCGCAGGGTAAGCCAGAGTTGCTATGGAAACCGCCTTAACAACATACAATGTATTGCATGATCACATTCTTCAGTATGCACGTTTCCTCACAAGATTTCTTTCTTGTTCCTTAGTGCAAAAGCAAGCGGTTTAGGCAAAACCACATGAAAGTCAACGGCCGGGACTCTTCTTCACGGCCGTCCTCGTTTGTTTCAGTTCAGTCGTCTTCAGGGGGAGATAGACAAGAGAGAAAAAAAATATGCCTGTGAGTATTGGTTTATGTCCATGTGTGGCAAAGGAGCAGGTTTTAGCATTACTGTAACATCTATGCTAATGTCTGTTAGCCAGTCTGGGGTGTTTCTCATTGTATGTTAGCATTAAGCTAGCTGGTGTTGAAATAAGTCACAAAAATCAATGTTCAAAAATAAACAAATCATCTGAGGCTAGATTAAACAAAAAAAAAATTAAAAAAAGCAAGTAAGTAAAATGATTATTGTGGTGATGATGATGATGAAGGAGCAAAGTACCTTCTCCTCCTCTGCACGTAGAGGCCGATGAGCCAGTGCACCACAAAGGGCCACATGACGCCAAAGGCCAGGCTGCTGGGAGAAATGTCAAAAGGCCACCACGATGGTCTCTACAACATCATACAAAAGAGGAAATGTATTTTATTTCGGAAACGTAGTGGATTAAAAGTTGCCAGGAATATAAATACTGAAGTACGGATACCACAGAAACAGAAAAGAGAGAAGTACGGTAATAAAGGATTTGAATTCTGTTACATCACAAGACATGTGCGTGTTGGTACATGCGCTTTTTTTACCAGACTGTTCTTATTCGCTGGTGTGGAGGGATGAACAGGAGGCATGACTGTTGACCTGGCCTGGAAAGAAAAAGAACAACTGTTTAACCATTTTCAAAGCAGAGTTTCCCGATATTACCGGTTGTTTTAGCGTATTTCGACTATCTTTCAGAACTCGCAGAATATTGCGTACTGTGACAACATAAGTCATGCTTTTAATTTATATTATTTTATATGGATGGGGGGAAAAATTATTTTGCTTTCAACCAAACCCTTTTCATTCAGTTACCATAATTACAAAATGTGGTGTCTTTTTAAAATTCCCCATTGAAATTTACAGGAAATGTCGCAACCCTTTGCAACTATAGTCGTGGTGCAAGATGGTGGCAGGTCCCCATTGGCTGACCTGCGTGGCGGCGAGAGCCTCTAGCGTGTGGAGCCTCTCCAGGACACTTTGCATGTCCTCCTGCAGTTGGGCCAGTGCCGCCACGATCTGCTCGTTCAGGTTGCCCACCGGCGTGCCCGCTCCAGCCCGCCGCTCCCCGCCACCCCCGCCACCGGCGTTGTCGTCTCCGCCGCTGCCGTGGGTGGGCTTCAGCGCACCGAGGCCACGGCCGTGGGACCTGGAGCCTGGCGAAAGACAAAACATCATCGTCAACTCAAGTGTGACAAGAAGTCAAGAAGGAGTCATCAAGCCACGGTGGAAACTAATCAGCAGGGATACTGTATTTAGTTTACATGCACATTGTGTTTTATAAAACATGTACCTGTGACTAGAAAGCCAATCGTGGAGAGTCTCTGTCATGGAAACAGCCTCTCAAAAATTCCACTCTCGCTCGTTTTTTTTTCCCTCCCTTTTTTTGACAATCATGCCATGTTTTTGTGGTTCGATAAAATTTTTTAAATAACATACAGTACAGTATATTGTGAATGGGGCCTAAAAAAACACACACACAGGCGTTACAGTAGATGTGCTGCGCTCAATTCGACAGATCGCTTTTGGCTTTCGCCACGTGGAAATAGGCGTGACATCACGTTGCGCTCCCGGATCCGAAAATGGGAGGACAGTGCATTTACCTCTGCCACCTCCAACGGCGGAGTTTGGCATTTCCACGTTGAGCCTGGACCTCTGCGTCACGCTCCCGCCGGCATCACTGTCCTCGCCGCCACACCTGATGCCCTGCGGGACTCCCTGCGGATCCTCGCGGTCCACAGGTTCCTCTTTATCCTCCTCCACCTCCACCTCCTCATCCAGGTCTTCCAGAGAGCGAGTCTGCTCAGTGCTCTTTTATTCATAAACAAGAATAATATAGTACGTGTTCGGAATGTCATGGTTGTACATGTGCAGTATTTCCTCAAGCAATTAAAAGCCTGGTGCACAGTAGTTGTTCTTTCTTGCCTCGTCCTGCCCTAACTGGTCCACTGAGTCACAATAGACTTCGCTGTCCGAGTCGCTGGCAAGCTGGGCGGGGCCGGTCACGTCCTCGCTGGCCTCTGAAGCGGGGGGAGCTAAAGGTCAACGCAAAAAGGTCAGTCTGCCACGCGTCATTAAAAGCCTGATAATTTGCCGGGAAGGGAATCGGATGGCGTGAAATGCCACCATTCTGCTTCTAGAAACGGAAGCTGTGGTCACACGGGAGCATCAGCGCCCGATTCGCGAATTTTTTGGGTAAAACTAAAACAACAACAACAAAATGCACCTTATTGGTGCTTATCAGCATATTTTTTGGTGCTCCTTCTTTAATGCCAAACATTGTGTGATTGACTTTTTGAAACCATTCAATAAATGGGTGAAAGTTTTTTTCAAACAAAACAGAAAAAAAATAAACTCGGCTCAAGGCTAACAATACAAAAAATATGGGCCACGTGTCAGTCAAAGTACCACTGTTTTTAAAAATACACCGTAAAAGCTTCCTTACCCGCGGGGTGGCCGTTGAGCAGAGGTTGAGCATCCGGTACGTCCTGAGGTGTGAGCGAGTGGTCGCCGTTTGTCAAATGTGACACGCCGTTGGCCATTTTGCCATTCTGAGCTTTGTGCGCTCTCGGTGACGCTTTCTTCTTCGGTTGCGAGGCTGCCAATCAAGCTGATCAGCTCCAAGCGAAACAAACATTTCTCAGGTAGCTTCAGTTGAATTACCTTTGCTGACCTCATCGTCTTCGTCTTCTTCCTCTGATGTTTCTTTGTTGTCCTTAGGGGCGGGCTTGGCGGGCCCGGCGTCCAGCGTGCCATTCATTTCCATGGTCCTGACGATGCTCTTGGCCATGTTCCTTGACGACACGCTGCTCAGAGTTGTGCTGAAGCCTGCCGCCGCACAACAAACCGTCGGTCGAACACTTTCCGACAAATCATAACGGCAAAACACTTTTTGAGGCGGCCATTGCTTTGCAAGGTTGCAGGCTAGATCAGAATTCTACAGTGGAACCTCTAAAAACCAAAACACCTCATGATTATTTTGGGAAAAATATGCCCGTAATGTCGCAGGAAATATCGGCTTTTTCTTGAGCTTTCATCCAGCCCAACAAGCATTGACATGATCAAGAATCACGTTTTATCACATTAATTTGGATGTTTTCATCCCTAAAATTGAAATCACATTTGCACTTTTTTGCCTTTATCTCATTGAAATCATTTTCGTTCACAATAAACAGTCAAATAAAAAAAAGGTTACATCATTGTCGTGAACTAAAAAGCTGCATTTTGCCAGGTAAAGCACGTTAGAAAATATGCTTGTTAAGTCACAAGACAGTGCTGTCACTTTTTTCTTTGTTTTTCTTTGCGTCTGATCTCAGAGGTTCGACTGTGCATCCGTGAAGCGACAATAGCACAAAAACACTCCAATTTTATCACATTAATTTGGATGTTTTCATCCCTAAAATTGAAATCACATTTGCACTTTTTTGCCTTTATCTCATTGAAATCATTTTCGTTCACAATAAACAGTCAAATAAAAAAAGGTTACATCATTGTCGTGAACTAAAAAGCTGCATTTTGCCAGGTAAAGCACGTTAGAAAATATGCTTGTTAAGTCACAAGACAGTGCTGTCACTTTTTTCTTTGTTTTTCTTTGCGTCTGATCTCAGAGGTTCGACTGTGCATCCGTGAAGCGACAATAGCACAAAAACACTCCAAGCTATAAGGTCTGCGACGCTACCTAGTACTCGTGGAGAACTTGCACTGAAAGCTATTCGGTTAAAAAAAAAACAGTTTACAGTTTGCGTGTACTTGCCTTCCAGCTGCCTAGCAAACTGTGTCAAACGGGCTGAGCGTGCATGTGACAGGAGACAAATTGTATTAAAAGGAAAAAAAACCAAAAAAACAAGACAAACACAATGACTAAAGATTGCAAATCAGTGAAACTCCGTAAAATCATTCGCACCCCAACTTTATCGCGGCAACGTTGGGATTCAGTTGGCAGACTTTGGTCGTGTTTAAACATATGATCTGAAATTGTCTTTTGTTTGATTTCAACTTGGAGTGACCAAATAAACTGCTTCAAGGAAGTTTTGCTATGGCCTCTGGGTCTGGAACGTAGTCCCTGTAATAAATAGAGAAGGCCAACCTGTGCTGAGGTCGGATATCTGCGTGATCTTTTTCCTCTCGTCCACCAGTTCATAAAAGGGTCCAAGGATCTGCAGGAGTTCCTCCACCTCGCCTGTCATAGGCATACCCTCCAGAATCTACATGCAGAAATGCATAATTAACTTCAACCCGTCGAAAAAAAAGGACACTTTGAGGAAGTAAACACACCAGCTTCATTTCATCAACGTAGGCTGCCATTGCTTCCTCTTTAGTCATTTCACCCAGGGAGTTCCACGCGTCCCTTGATTAGTGAAGGTACACAAAATCAAAGCGTTAATTGCATCATTCTTGCATAAGCTCTGATAATGCGAGTGCTCACATGAATTGGCTCTGTTTATTTTCATTATAGGTCAGCCTGTTCCCTATGGCGGCCAGCGCTCCCAAAATAATTGTTACAATTTCCTGATAGCCTTGCAGGACTTCCTCTAAAATGTCACGGGGATGGTTAGAGAAAATATGGCTAAGAGTAACTTTTTCAACTTGTTTTGAAACTGGCTGGGTGGGTGTGTGGTGTAGAATTGCTAAACTTGGCCTTTGGCCAACAGGGCCTCGAGTCCACAGATCAGCAAGCTTGGTGAATGAACAACGCGTGTCATCTCAGGGCAGAGAGCGACGTGTTGTGCAATGCACACAAACCAAAGACTGGTGCAGTCACTGAGACCTACACAAGTTTAATGAAAATAAGACCTGAGCATGGTCTGTTTTTTTTTTTTTTTGTACTTATGTCATATGCTACCATTGCCTTACATATGTCAAATAATGTGATGACTGATTATTGCTGTCCTACCATTTGGCTTTGCCGACAGCGTCCCAGAATCCGGGTCGCGCTATGTTGCACCTGCCCACGGTGGCTTGCTTGTAGTAACTGTAGAATTTAAGCATCATGTCGTTGGATGGCTGAAAAGAACCTAAAAAAAAAATTGTTTTAAAAACAAGATTATACAAACATTCACATATTGTAATATGATTTTAGTGAATACAAATATAAATGATATAAAGCCTTACATATTAGGACGTTATTCAATTGTGAATAAATACACTTTTCTTTTGGAACGATACTTTCTGCATGTACTGCATGTTGGTTACTCGCCAACGGACGCTACATTTACTTGTTTACTTTTAAACTTAGTTTGGGGCAAACATGAGTGATGTATGTCATTCCATGCTGTGATTTTGACTTCTCTCCTGCACAGGTGAAACATGACTTCATTGTCCTACTCTCTCATCTAGAACTATTTCAAACATGTTCTTGGTTTATGTCACTTTTCAGACCGCGGACCCTTGAGAATGAAATTTCCATTTCATGTTTCACACACTGCTGATTGACAATAAAACAATGCAACGAGGGTGGGCGTGGAACACGGTCACGTGATAAACGGGTTTTTAATACTGTATTTATATAAACTGTGTTGTAGATTGTCAGCGTGGTTTCTACAGCGAGGTGTTGCCAAAGTCTGCTATGCAAAGTGGATTAGGCCCTTTTAAATCCAGTGCAATGCAAAGCCGTGGCTTCGACGACGTCGTCTCGTATTGTGTTTTTACAGTCGTGTTGAAACACAGGTCAACTGGTTAGACTGGGCTAAACAGCTCCCTCCAGTTCGACTCACCATCCGGAGGCAAACTCTTGATGACTTTGACGGCGGCGTCGAACCTCAACTGGGTCAAACGCGTCTGCTCGTCCGCACCGAGTGACTGGGCCACTTCCATCGCGACAAGTTGCTGCATGCACCCAAAGACAAACAATGTTGGATTATGTCGTCATGTTGTCCTCTGAACAATCAAAGCCCCACTCAACACTGAGGCAAGATCGCGTTGTTATTAAGCAGTGAAGTGACAACACACGACGAATTTTCTTGGACAAATCGCTAGCAACACCGTTCCTGTTGAATATAACGCATATATTCCAGAACATTCAGAAAAAGGTTGGAGGAACTAATGTCGCTCACCGTTAAAACTGTGACAGTTTATCTATGTGTCAGAAGGGGAGCAGACCCAAGACCTCGATCAGACGCCATGAACGCTACAGTGTCAAACGAGTAGAGATGCACCCTGGGAAATGTAGTTTCTCCTTGGTTACTTCCGAAAAGTCCCGTCGTCAGCGATAAAACATCGTCGGGGACACTCGTGTTCAATACAACGAAAATGAGAATGAGACTGAACTATTACATAAATAGCTGTTCGTCAAGGCAAACGTGCTGAAAAAAGGTAGATCGATGCGGGTTTGGCGACCAGAAAATGATAAGGACCACAATTCCCAGCATGCTCCTTTAGGAGTCAATGGGCTAGTCGACCGCAAATATCAGGAGAGGGAGGGGCCGCTCCCTGGGCTGAGGCAGAGCTGGTGGCGGCTTCACTCGTAAGGGAAGTCGGCAAGGGATAACGACGCTCGGTGGAGACATGTAAAGATGGCAGAGCTACAAATGTTGCTCGATGAGGAGATCCCGGCCGGCAAGAAAGCGCTCGTCGAGAGTTACCAGAACCTGACCCGAGTCGCGGACTACTGTGAAAACAATTATGTGCAGGTAAGCTAAAGCGCAGCTAACTCCTACCGCCTTTTGTGGCGAAAAAGGCTGAGGATTCGAACGCTGGTTGGCACCGGAAATGTCGATAAAGAAAGTGTCTTGCGGGGCCGTGTTAACACACTGCTCACGGGGCGCCTCGTAATGAGCAGCGGTGGCGATATTTGACGTGTTTATACGGAGGGTGTGTCTACTTTCCCCCCCTCTTCGAATAATAACACGCCGTGTCGGTTAAAAACTGCCGACGCTTTGGAGGCCTGTTTTACAGCCGGTCAGTGAACGCGTCTCAGCTGTTAAACTTGCTTTTATTTCACATGGAGGCCCTTCAAAGAAATCGTTTAATCCCGCATTTATGCGACGCAGTGCCAGCAGAACCCTTTATAAACACTATACTAACCAACGGACCGTTTTAAAATCACCTCATCGTCCCACAAAAACGATGCGTGTTGTAGTGGAGCGTTCAGTGGCAACAAGTGAACTCCAGCGTCCCACTTGCGTTGTTGTTGTTGTTGTTATCTTCAATCCATTAGCTCGTTTATGATGAGACACATGCGTGGTAATCTGTGGAATGCACTGTAATTCATCTGCAGGCTTGAGGAATGTGTAGCCAGGTCAATAAAGCTTGGTGCTATTGATTTTCTTTCTCCCCCTTCTCTCCTCTCTTCTCCCCCAACAAACTTCTTGGTAGCTTTCACCCCTTGCTGGCTGCACAGCTGCCCATTTAGTTTGACTTCATTTAGCTTCCACTGTATAGCTTTTAGGACCATTTGGCGCATGAGTGACACTGGGGGTTTGTTTTTAAAAATGTGACAGCTTTGTTCAGTGAGCAAGTAACAGCAGGAAGAAGAGGCACCATTATCAACCATGGAGGGTGTGTCTATTCCAGCTGCACTCCCCCTCAGGATTCCCTGTAATTTCGTTTTCTTCCTAGGCCTGTTTGCTGTAAGATTTGGCAGCGTGGAGGCACCGCTGCGAGGAACATTTATGCCAATTATAGCCCTCGACGACCAGCTAAAGTGTTTTCTGGTCCGCTTTGACGTCTTTGCGGATAATGTGTCCTTTCTAGAAACTTTTTTTTGTTGTTGTTTTAGAAGACGTTTTGCTTTTCATTCAAGCAGGCTTCATCGTTTCATGCGACAAGGCTTAGTTAGGCTAGCACTAGGCGTCTTCGTCATTTCATTGCCACTGTCTTCTTCTTTCTCCATTTCTTTGCTGATGCAGAGCCGCCACACTACACACAGTACTAATGATAAAAAAAATGTAAACAGCACACAGTCATAGTCCTTTTTTTTATCTCTTGAATGTGAACAAACAGGAAAGCCGTCAAGGACAAAAGCAGGCGATTAAGACGCGGCCACGCTGGCTCGATTATTAGGACACTTCCTGAGGAAACGCGAGTCAAGACGCCAAAGACAAAGAGTGCGCCACAGTCATCGCCGCATCCTTCCAAATGCTCGCTCTTCATCTTCTTATTTGAGCGCTGTCAGTGACACACCGGGAGTGTAGAAGAAGAAGAGGAGTGGGAGGAAGTTACGCCGTTGTAAAGGTTTGCAGTGACAAGTCGCTTCAAGCTGAGGCGTGTCGGTGTGTGAGCGCGCGTGTACCCGTCATTGTGGATTTGGAATAGGCCGACAGAGGGATCTTATGGAAAGCGCATTTTTTCGACACGTCACATCGCAAGATGAGGAGCTTAACATTTTTATATATTTATTTTTCGAGTTGAGTCTTAGTTTGAATGTGTCACGCCGATCACAAAATGGGGGTCAACTGTGGTTGCAAAATGTCAGGAATCTTCAAAGTTGGAAATGATCCCCGGGAATGATTTACGCTACTCCCAAAAAGCAAGCAGGAGCGGGGTGAAATTGTTGAAGTAGTATTTAAACCGTCCTCCTTGTCACGCTGTTGAACTTTTGACATCACAAGACCCAAGGTGATGCCTGACAGTTGGTTGTGTTATGCTTCAAACAGGAAGCGCAGCTCAAGAGCCCCAAAGTCATCAGTAGGTTGCATCAGAGACCGGAAGAGTCATTGAAAAACAAAAAGCCGGGCTCCCCCTGGAAATTTTTACGCATCAAACACCTGTTGTGAATTTTGCCATTCACTTCCTTGTTGTCGAACATCAAACTGTGCCAACGATAATGAAACAATAAGCCATTTAATGTGCCTTCAAAAGGTTACATGAGGTCAAACGAAGTTGACTTTTCATCTTACACGAATAAAATCGCGACTGTCCGAAATTTTCCACGAACGTGAGAAAAATGTGCATATTCTCATAATATTCCTGACAGACTTCAAAAACAAAATTCCCACTCCGTTATCCGTGTCGAATTTTCCCTGACTGCGTGACCTTTACACTCCTTGGCCCACATCTGCTGTGTTCCGACAAAGTGTGTGGCTTCCTTCCTGCTGAGAGTGGGACCGTCCAATTCCAAAGTCACTCGGCAAAGGTTAATAAGTTTGAGGCAAGGCCAAGTTCTCCTTTTGTGACACACCTAAGGAGTTTTTAATTGCGCTCCGGCAATCCTTTAAGGTCGCGGAGGCCTTCTGGCCTTGCAGTCGTCCGCCATCTGCCTTCATGTTGTTTGTTCTTCCAGGTGTCCTCGTCCTTCACATATACCAATCGCACATGTTGGTTTCCCTGTTTAATATTTTTGACTTGTTAGTTTGTCGTCTTTATCAACAGTTTGCGCGTTTTTCTTTATTCGTTTGTTTGCTCTGACGGAGAAACGCTAAATACGGTACTGACACAAATAGTGATGGGCAAATACCGATACCAGGGATCGTATCGAGTCGACACCTGCCTTATTTTAAAGTATCGGGTACTCTTGGATGCTCCCGATACCAGGCGCTGATACTTAACCCATGAAAATGTGCAATCGCTTTGAGTGGTGGCCATTTTAAAAAGTTGGGGCAGTCAATCACATCCCTTTTATTTCTACATTGTGTCCCGGCCCTTTAATTATATTACAATTTATAACTACAAAAAAAAAACAAAAAAAAACGGGAGTAACTCTACATGGCAACAGATGTCTGTCCTTTGAAGTCATCATTAAAAAAAAAAAAGTCTTTTTTTTTCACAACATCAATCAGTAGTCATTTCGCTTTCTTACATAGCTCGACTCATTCCAACCTGAGCTGCTTCTTATCAAAGTCAAGGAAGAATTTAGTTTCAAATGCTAAGCGTAAACGCAAAAAATGATCACACTTTTGTTTGGATTTCCTTGCTAGGAGCCGCCTTCCATGCGATGCGGCGAAGCACACGGCCTCGAATGCGAGTCGGTGTGAACTCGTGCTGTAATCTGATGTGGTTGGTCGTCCTAATGAGCTTCCGGATTTCAGACGGTTACATCAATCCGAGTTCAACAGCTGTCCGGCCGAGATTATAGTTGGCAGCAATCAGCCGTGCGTGCGTTTTCGTGTGGCCAAGAGCTTCGTGAGATTGCCAAGCGCTCCTTCCCCCCCGCTTTCGATGGATGTTTGACCTCTGAACCGTTTCCTGAAGATATTTTGTGTCAAGATTTGGCATTTGTTAGGAGCTACCGAGTTAAAAACAAACAAACAAAAAAACCCAACACAGACTCCTCTTCCTGGTCCTGAGTGTTTATTTTCTTGTCGCGGTCGTCCTTGACAACCCAACCGTCCGCACTTCAACAACTTGAGATGGATTCCAGACATTCCTGAGATTTCCTCGTCGTCGGTCGGGCCCTCTCGCTACATGTGTGGGAAGACATGATGCACCCTTGAGTTTCTTTCTATGTGGTGTCTTGAGTGATGTCATTATGTCAGGAGGTCCGTTTCCTCTTTCTTCTCAGGCATCTGGGTGGAGACTCTTGGACAGTTTTGGGTCCCATGAGAGGAAGTCTAAACTTTTCCTCCTCTCCCCCCGCCGCCAGTCCGGAGATGATTGTTTCTCTGCCTGGCATGTTGTGGGGTGAAACATTGTACGACACCGAAGGCAGGCAGCTCTAAATTTGGAGCAGGGCAGCGAAATATGAAGTGTGAGCGTATCTTCTTATGATATAAATCTGCTGTACCTGCGAGATTGTGCACACGCTCCGAAATTTCACTTCATTCTTCTTGCCATATAATTAGATTCTTATCCTGCCTACCTCAGCTCCCAGTGGCAGGTTTATTGGGAGCGTACACACGCACACACACGCGCGCGTGTCTCGCATTCCTCTCTTCTTTTTGCTTTTCAAACCAGATGAGGCGGCGACAGCCGCGGCGCTCTGCCGCGTCTTTTGTCGACTCCGAAATGAAAGACAAAAGTACGCCGGGAGCTCTGCGAAAAAGTCCACAAGAGTCGCTCGACTTTGCGAGCCGGTGGATACAGCAACCGCGATGCCTCCAGATGTTTGTGTAACCGAGCGTGTCTGTTGAACGTGAGGGACGGGGCGGGCGGTCGCCCTTTTGACGCCAGAACGAGACGCTTGTTCCTCATCGAGCGTTGCAAAAGGGTGGAAAACTTCTGTGAAGTTTTCATGGGAAATTTAGCGGCAGAATAGCAGAAGCAAAAACCTTCCTCAAGATAGAAAGCGGAGCGGCGCTTCCAGTTTGAATGGGATTGGATGTTTGACTTCGGCCGTGCGATTAACATTTATCATCTTTAATTTTGTGTCAAATGTAATTTTTTGGGGGGCGAGTTTTGAATCAGCAAAGAGATTCTGGAAGATTCTGTGCCGTTTCCTTTTAAAGCCCAATTATTGTTCTACAAGGAGGAATTATGTTGACCCGATATTTTTGAGGCCAGCCAATGACGCGTCGCTATCTACTGTACCGACCGAGGAGGCGTTGACCCATTTTGCGAAGTGTAGCTGGAAGAGAATAAACATTGTCTGAGCGGGAAAATGTAGGCCAGCACTTGTGCACTGACAAGCGGGATTTAAGAGTCGTATGCTTGCGCAGGCTGAATCTGCTTCTTGCTGTTTTTATTTTATTTTTTTTTAAACTGAGGTACAGTGACACCCACAGTCGCTTCTTTCAATGTCGCGCTAATTATACACCCTAAACACATTCAGAAGCAACACATCAACAGGCGTGAACACTTAACCCCGCCGGCCCCAGAGAGTTTGCCGTCTTTGGATCAGGAGGTGTCGGGGGGCGGTATGGGATATCCCGGCAATGCCGACCAGACGCTCGTTTGAATTCACGTTTTTCCTTCTCCTCCTGCCTTTTGTGTTCCCTGCAGGCCCAGGACAAGAGGAAAGCTCTGGAGGAGACCAAAGCCTACACCACGCAGTCCCTGGCCAGCGTGGCTTACCAGATCAACGCCTTAGCCAACAATGTGCTGCAGCTGCTGGACATCCAGGCCTCGCAGCTGCGGCGCATGGAATCCTCCATCAACCACATCTCTCAGGTCATACGAGCGCACACATTGACCACCGTTGTGCAACCAGAGTGCCCACTTCTGCTTTTCGCTTCTCGATTTGTTATTTTGAACCACAGCGCCGCGCCGTCGCGGTTTCCTTTACCGTCCACAAACCTGTTTGACCTTCGGCGTCGAGCTGCGCTGTCAGTTTGTTGCTATTCGGAAGAGCCATCTCTGTACTTGAGGATCGTTCCTTTAAAAAGGCTCCTGACGGCGCAGCACCATGAGAGGGTCAAGCAAATTAATCCCAGTGGAGAAGAAGGTGGCCCGCACGCTCTCTCCACAGGGTAATCCATCGGCGTTTGAGCGTTTAATCCTCCTCGGGAAGGTGTGCGGGACCTTAGTTAAGGATTCAGAGGGCAAACTGCAGCTCACTATTGATATGGCAGACACGGGGCAAAGCCATTTTTTGGGGTCAATGAGAGTGACAAAATTCAGGAATATGCACATGGGTGGCCGCGTACAATTTGTGCAGTTCCAAATTGCAATTTATCAGCCTTGGCGGAGTTCTGGAGTCCTACTTGGAGCTGTAATAAAGCCCCTCAAGTTTGAAGGTATATCACAGATCTCTCGGAACCTTTCCCTTTTCTGCAGAAGCAACACTCGTGCACGTGTAGGTAGTACCAATGACGGTATTAAGAGCTCAGACAAGTTAAAAAAAAAAAAAAATGAGTTGCGGCCAATAGAAGTTTCACTATGACATCACACACGTACTTTTCCGGGTGGGAGGAACTCCTGTGGCATTGAGAAAACTACACAAATGGCTTGAATAAGGATTCACAACCTAATTTCAATGTATAAAGTGTCGCCTGAATCGATATTAAGGGAAGTAACTTATTTTGAAGGGAGACCAAATTATATTTTAACAAGTTGACTGAGAAAGAGATGTGTTGGAAATTCTGACATAGTTATCGTGATTATTTGGGGATTAGCTCATTAGTCATTTATTGCTTTGGACGTTTAGTCGTCAACCGAAATCAAATGTTTTTCAATGGGTAGGCGTGGAAGAAAGACTTGCCCCACAAGTACCTTTGTGCCTGTTGATTTAAAAACATGATGTAAACGTCTTTTACATGTGTTGTTGTCCCGTTGGGTCCAAACACAAGTTTCTTGTCCCGCCTCTCTGCAGTATGGGCTGTGCTTTTCTCACGTTAGCTATCTTATGTTTCTTTTCCTTCATCCTTGTGTATCGCGCCAGGAATTTTTTTTTTCGCGATACACCGAAGGTCAGTTTTTCATCCTAATGGAGGCAAAAGTGCACTTGGTGGGACTCGAGGGCAAGAGTGCAGTGGAATGAGGAAGTTGGCAAGCGAGTAAAGCAAAGACCTTGAAAGAAAGAAAAAAAATCTCAATTGTTCACTTTCATCTCAGTGAATAGTTTCGAAGCCAATACGAAAGTCATAGGACTTGTTGTGTTACCATGGCAACAACCCGGGTCAGCCTAGGGCGAGGATATGAAACGCAGCTCAAGATTGGTTCAATCGTTAACCGCGTTTTTTAAGCAAGAGAAATGAAAAGACTATTTTGGACTGTAGGGAAATGTTTTCGTCCCCTCTTGTGTTCCACGAGCTGCAGCGGCGATTGAAGAGGAAGAGGTGGGGGGGTTGAGGGGGTTAAAAAAAAAAAAAAAGCTAATCTTCCACTTTGTCTTGCGTGTGAAGTGGCTGCTAAGAGGCCGCCAACAGGGAGAGCTTTGTGTGCGCAGCGGAGGCCGACTCCTCGGACCGACAACCTCGCTTGTGACACCGCCATCGACCGCGCGTGTGCGTGTCCGTCATGCGACTCCTGTGCCAATTATTTCCCACCCCCCCAAGTGAAGAAGTCGCGAAGTTTTGTGACACTTAAATAGTTGAAGTGTCCAAAATTAATCGATTTGTTGTCAAGCAACTATCGGAGTTGGTCTGTACTGCGTAAAAATAACAGAAGACGTCGGGAACGACCGGTACTATCGATTTGTGGGGAACATGTGAAATTGAGCATATTTTGGGCAGGCGTGTGTTTCAGCCTGACAGTGACGTCATGTCAAATATAATTCGGTTTAAAATGTGCCTTCGCTGAAAAATGGACGTCTGTGACTGTGGCACTCTCGATTTAAATCGTAAACGGAAGCTTTACAGAGGCCACACATGGCGGGACTCCTCCGTCTGAGTCACTGTGAACACCACCAGGAATGGTCAAGAAATTGAAGGCGCGTCATGTCTTTTGTCTGCGAGGCACTCGCAGGCCAAACAAAAAAAAAAAAACCCTCAGGGCTTTTTTTGGCAAGAATAAACATGAGGCGTGAGCCATTTGTCCGGGTATGCGTCTTGTGACACGATGTGAAAGCGGGGCAGGAAGAAGTGAGTCAGTCTCAGGATGTTGAGGAGGGAGGGGGGGAGAAAGAAAAAAAAAAGCACAACATGAATGGGCTTTTTTTCGAATGATGCCCCTCAAAGTAATTGTTGAAAGCCCAAAATAGGATTGGAACTGTCGTTTATCAGACCCCCTTTACCGGCATGCTAAACAAACCGGGAGGGTTTGCTAAATTCTGTCCTTGTAATCCCGCCGGACGTGCCTGAATCATTTCCTGGTTGTGGTTTTTATAAGCTAAAAATGACTTCGATCCCGAGGCCACATTTTGCTACAGAAGAATGTGTGGAATCCGTCGCCCAGACACAATTTTTTTTCTTGAACAAGTATCAAGACTTACTTAAGCTTTGGAAATGGAAGGCGATGCTTCTGTTGGCGTGGAGACGGCCGCCGCTGAGTGAAACCCATCTCCGAGTCTCGAGGCATTTTGCTCCTGTCCTTCCTGACCTCAATTTCCAAAGCGCTGCTGGTGCACGTATTTCGTCTGGTCGTACGCTGTCAAGTTAGGTTTGCTCAAGGTTTTGACATACCGCTCCCGGCCTTTTGATTGGTCGAAGATTTATGGCCGCTAGCTGCTACTGGTGTGTGCGCATCCATCCGTCAGCAGCCTGACCCGTTTTCCCAACGAGCCCCCTCGCTCGCCTCCGCCATTAATCTTGGGGGGCACATATCTCGACTAGGGATGGACGTCTTTTGAAGCTCATGTGGGCTTTGAGCTATTCTGCACCAAATTTCTAGACTGTGAGTGAAGCAATCTAAACACGAGAGGGATTTAATACGTGACCGCTTGAAACAAAAAAAAAAACATTGGCTCGATTGCCCAGAGAAAACCGGCGTTGCGACGTGAATGACGGCTGCCCCTCACGTTGTGGTGTTGACATTTCTGTTGGGTCCCCACCCTCACCAAGTACCCGCCGATGTCATTCGCAGACGGTGGACATCCACAAAGAGAAGGTGGCGCGGCGGGAGATCGGCATCCTGACGACGAACAAGAACACGGCGAGGACCCACAAGATTATTGCGCCGGCCAACATGGAGCGGCCGGTGCGCTACATCAGGAAGCCGATCGACTACGCGCTGCTGGATGACGTCGGACACGGAGTCAAGGTGAGAGCTCGTCACGTCACAGCAGTGGCCCCTAACCTTTTTTCTGTCGCACCCGCTGCTCCGTGGCCTCTCTTTGCTGTCTCTCGGGGTGATACTTACTGACGCCTTGCCGGCATTTGAAGGTGAACCCTTCTCGATGCACGCGGATGTGGCGGCGAAGTTCGCTCCGAGCTCGGTATTTCCTTGTTCCTTTCTGGCCGTTTTGACATGCCCTCTTTCTGTCTCTCTCCTGTTTTTCCACCACCCCACCTCACACCACTTGCCCACACTAAGTGGATGAAAGCCAAGGTAAGTCGTCTGTCACATGACCCATTTTGCCATCCTGCATTAAAAAAAAAAATTCTCCCTTTCACATGGACTATAGTACGCGATATCACAATTCTTGTCATGTAGTCCTTGTGTTTCCCCATTAATCAACCTCTTGATGATGACAAACAACCCCCCCATCCCCCCCTCCTGAACGCCTCAACCCTTGTCATTCACAATGTGTATTGTCGTCCTTAGATGCCGCGTAGTTTAGTGATTTTTTTTTTTTTTTTTTTTAAACTCAGCTCGCACACCCACGATTAGCATAGACGACTCCGATAAGGCCAAAGAAACACGTTTTATTCCACCAGCATGCCAGACTTCCTCAAATATCGACAAAGGGTGGTTGATTATTCAACCGCCCAGGCGAGTACTCATGTAGTTTCAGATGAACTAAAATGCATTTATTACAACGGTGGCCACTATTTCAGGAAATGTGTTATATCTAATTAATTTGGATTCGCAGACCCTCTAAATGAAGTTGGACTTTGATTGCTTAATCCTGAGAACGAACGCTAGCACAGTGCAAAACGCAACTTCCTTGGTGGTGGTAATAATGATCTGCTTGTTTGGATGCACTTGTTTCACCAGAAGGTTTGGAAGGCTGAAACAAGTGCAGCTGTCAAACTGTGCTCGCTGATGAAGTGTTGGACCAGTAGTCTGCTCTAAAGGCGTGTTACTCTCTTTTTATTTTTATTTTTTTTCCCCCTGTCAACCACAGCAGCACGGAAACAATCAGTCAATCCGAGTCGGAACGCTATCGCGGACCAACCCGCCGACGCAGAAACCACCGAGCCCGCCCATGTCAGGGCGCGGCACGCTCGGGTAAGACACTGTTAGTCACTATGGAACACAACATAATCCCATCGTCTTTTAAGTATGTAATGTGAAGTTTATATTGGTGGGGGGATGCTCCAGACCTACCCAGTGAAATTTTTTTTTTTTTACCATTGCGTACACTTGAAACATATTTACAGTTATGAAAAGATACTTTTGAAAGTATTCCTCAGCACCACCTCTCACCCTCTTGCTCCTTCCTATGACATCTGTCCGAGCAAACAAAAACGCCCACTCACACATTGAGGCCGAGTGTGCTTGCTTCAAGACTTTTATTTGTCCTTCTCAAGAGTCACAAATGCAGTAATTGTATGAAATGCGAAAATTAAGGACGCCCTCCCTGAACACACCACTTGCTGCTTGATTTTTATTTATTTATTTTTTTTTTAATGTATTTTTTGGGGGGGTGGGGGCTTCTGCAGTCGCAACGCATCCTACAAAACTTTGGAGCCTGTGAAGCCCCCAACGGTGCCCAACGACTACATGACCAGCCCGGCCCGCCTGGGCAACCAGCATGGCGCGCAGCACAGTCCTGGACGCACGGCCTCGCTCAACCAGAGGCAGCGCACACACAGGTAGGGGTCTAACCTTGTTGGTTTTGTCTTTCTCTTTCTGCAACATAATAAAACAAGCGGGCACCAAAACGCAGTCTAATAGCCAATTAGCACATTGGTGCCATGAAGTGAAATATCTTGACTGAGGGGGGAAAAAAGCTTTGTATCAGTCGCAATGCTAACACGAGGATGAATTGCGAACTTTGCAGAGGAAGTTCTGGAAGCCAGATTCAAACCCTGAACCTCCCAACTGCGCGGCAGACATGCTAACCACTAGGTCACAGTGCTGCATGCATGTTTTGCTCACACACCTCCATCGAGAGCGAAACTCTCGTCTCATTTGAAGTATGGGCTCGTTAGCGAAGGAATGCGGCAGGCTTGGATGCTCGTTAATATTTTATTCTTGTGCATTATTATGTTTCTTTTGCATTTTTTTTTTTTTTTGCAACAAATAAGGAGGTTAGGGGGAAGCGCTTAAACACAATGAGCAAAGGAGTGAGATAAAATTGGACTAAACAAAAAAAGTGTTGGCGTTTTTATTGTGCAGCCCGCGGAGGGTAAAACCCTGTTGTTTGTGTTATGAGTGCCCCGGGGGCTCCACTGACATGGATCAGGGGGGGTGGGGGGTACAGAGATGGAAGAGGTTGGGGCGAGGGGGCCTGGTTTACTGGGATGGAAGGTGCTTGAGGGGTTTCAGGGGCATGTTAGTTGACAGTGAGGCCGAGAGATGGGGGAGGTAGGGGGCGGGGTCATCAGTTCAAAGCACGATGAAAGTAGAAGAGGAGGTAGAGGAGGATCAAGGCTGACCCACCCCAGGGTCAAACTCAAATGTGCTGACGCACATGTGACACTTTGATGTCCTCTGCTTCCATTGATCGAATTCACGTGCTTGACTACAATGTTCATGTCAACCACACGTTTTGGATGGAATTTTTGATGTTCAAATTAGGACAGCAGGCAGGAGTAACCACCAGATCCCGCCCCCACCCAAAACACAGAGAAAATCCAGCTGACTCGGATATATTTAGTGTTTTTCATTGTGGCCCCATGTGGAAGTTTCTCGTCACCAGTGGTTGGACGTAATGAAGTCCAATCGCAGTGAGAGGAAAAAGTTTGTGAACCCTTTGTGGGGGGGAAAAAGTGAACCCTTCTAATGTGAGTGTGTGTGGTGTGTCTCAGTGGCAGCAGCGGGGGGAGCAGCAGCCGGGAGAACAGCGGCAGCAGCGGCATCGGCATTCCCATCGCCGTGCCGACGCCATCCATTCCCAACGCCGGATCAGGTGAGCTTGTTTGCGATTTCGACATGGCAAGATGCTTCAATATGTCATTGGATTGTTTGAGATTTCAACTACAGTATGGTGCCATGATAGCAACACACACACACACACACACACACACACACACACACACACACACACACGCCAATATGACGTATGATCATAAAGTGTTGCGTAAAGCCTGTTTACCCGACAGGGATTATGCGGAGTCCCATTGTGTTCGGAGAGCCGCGCGTCGTGGATGTGTGGCAGTGTAAATAGGCCAAAGCTGCATTAAAGCAGCGGCGCCGCCGCACATCGAAGCGCACCCGGGGGTCGTTTCATCACATTCCCGCGCCCCGCGTCTGTCGCTCGGAGACCCTTTGAGAGTTTGCGCGGCAGCCTGTTGGCCTCGCCAGCGCAGGAAGGAAGTGTCACCATGGAAACAGTGGCCCCAAGAAGGAACAAGGGGCTGAGTGACGACTATCCCAAATAAGCGGCTTGTGTCAAATAAAAATGCAGAAAATGTGAGAGCATCGCAAATGAAAAATGCACTTTGAGTTGACTGAAGTGGATTATCGTCACATATTGTCAGAAACTGGGAAGTGTCTAAACTAAAGTTAGGCACGCAACACGGTTGTCTTTAACCGTTTTAGGTACAGCGGTTGCTACAGTGGACGGCTTATCGTGTTATCAGGTTACATGGTGCATGAAAGGGTTAAATGGACACTGCCTATCCAGTGACATCAGTCGCTGCAGTCACATGGTTGAGCATCGTAGAAGAACAGCGGACGCAGGCTACGAAAGCGCGCTCCACAGCAGCTTTTGCGCGACTGCTAATCTCCTTGCCCCGCATGTCAGGCCGTCGTTCCTTTTCACTCAGGCAGCAGCCTCTCTGACGTTCGCTCGCGACACAAGTCAACTATAGTAAATCGGAGCCCCAAGTCTCCTGGTGCTTCAAAAAAAATGTAAAGAAAAAAAAAAAACCTTTCCACAGTCCCGTTCATGACCTCCCCCCCGGGTGCGCCTCCTCCGCCTCCTCCTCTTCCTCCAGCTGGGCTCGGTCCACCGCCACCACCACCTCCACCTCCTCCCATAGGTGAGACCTTCGAGCGTGCCAGTCGTCATACCTGGCTCACGGTATTGGTGGGTCAGTCGGATGGAGCCAGACCCTCAAACCAGTTCTCTCAATCTTGGTGGTGATGGTGGTGGTGGTGGTTGACTCTACTTTCTGTCTGTTGGCACACGAATGTTTAACCGATTAGTTACCTTTTTCTGATGAAGCAATGCTGGTTGAGGAAGTTCGTCGTGGATGCATCATTTTCTTTGAGACGACTTGAAATGACAAAAACATGACAGGGAGCAGATTTATTTTTTTTCATTCTTTTACAATTTTTATTTCTCTCCTGAAATGTCATCTAAGCACCCGCGCTGCTTCCTTTTGATGGTCCACATCTGATTCTAATCAGATTGTTCACTGTTTTGGGGTCTCTTTGTCTCTGTCCTTCCTTCTTTCATCTTCCCGCTTGCTTTCCGGGCATTCCCCACCCGACCGACCCCTCGCCAGCGGTGGCTCCAGGGCCCGGCTTAGGCCCCGCCCCGATGTCGCAGTTCGGCACCATCTCGCGGCAGATTTCGCGGCACAACCCCGCCAACTCGTCCGTCTCCATGGTGTCGGCCACCGGCACCTACCGCCGGGCCCCGTCCGTCACCTCGCAGTTCTCTTTGCAGCAGCAGCAGCAGCAGCTTCAGCAACAACAGCCTCATGTTAACGGGGGCACGCCCACTTACAGCCACAACTCAAGTAAGGCCCCCGCCAGAGTAAGGCCAGTGTAGTCTAGTGAGTGTAGTCATATGCCACTCAAGGTTCAGGACTTTTTTTATCCCAAGATTTTACTCTAATTATGACTTCACCACTCTGTTAGCGTAGTGTCGTGATAGTCTACACTACAGCTTCGTACGAATTAGTCAGGTGAACTATTTTTTGGGATGCTTCAGTGTCATATTGCGTTCCCACGCAGAACATAATGAAGTCAGGTGCTTTCTGAAAAAGAAAAGATGAGTTCCAAGATAGCGGCAAAATGTTATTGGCCGTATTTAGTGCAGTAGTTTGAAGCGAACGCCAGAAAAGTACACACTTTGATTGGAGACGCACCTCTTCAATGGATTGGACCCCTGTCGTCTTTAGTCAGGGTGGGGCAGCCTTTCTTTTCCACTTTGGGTGTCTGATGCTCTTTCTTTTCCATTTCTTTTTCTTTCTCTTTGTTTCTTTCCGCGTGCGTGCCCTTCTTCAGTGTGCGTGGCCCCCACTCCTCCTCCCCCCATGCCCCAGCTGACGCCACAGATCCCCCTGACTGGCTTTGTGGCCAGGATGCAGGAGAGCAGTAAGTGTGAAGCCCATCATTGATTCAGTCTGTGTTCCCAACTCCCAGCATGCATTGCTCTCCCTCTCTTTCTCTCTCGCCACTCACAAGTGTCACGTAGCTCCCCTCCATCACTCTGCAACTATGTGACTAACTTCAACAAATTGTTCATCCCAGGGTCACACTCGTAATCTATTTGCCGCAGCAATATTGTGGACGTCAAGTGTATTATGCTAGACCGGGCTTGAAAGAAGTAAGATGTGTCACCACCTGGTGGTGTAAACAAAAGTACAACTCGTGCACAGTCCAAAACACTGGGTACACTCGTACAGTACACTGAGATCCAAATTTAGAGATAATCATCCCATCAATAAAAAGAATTGTTGTATTTGATAACATCAAATTCTCTGTGTAAGTGTGCCGAATGATGTGGGCATGTGTTGCTTGCTTACCAGAGACCCGTGAATAAATACATGTTAAAAGATTGATACAAATATTTTTACAAATCTTCTTGTTAATTGATGTATTTTTTAAAAATAATTTAAATTGCTTCTGATTCTGATCCACTGCGAGTGCCTCCACTGCCCCCAAAAATAAGTTTATAATTTGAAAGATTCCGGAATCACTTGAATACAGTTCCATGGCACCACAATACTACCCAAGATTTGTTTTCCCCTTTGACCTGAGCACCAATGAGCAAAAAGGTAAGTGATAGTTTCTAAAAATCTGCAAATGTCAATTCGCAAGTACATAAGACTGATTAGGTGTGTGTTGAAATAAAGTAATTATTCTGGCTGGATTTAAAACATTTAGAGTACATTATAAAATCCTGGGAAGGCTTCGCCCATTTAGTGCAACGGTGCAAAAACATTTATTTAACCAAATACTGCATTGTCCTTGCATGGTAGCTGCATGATTAGTTGTCATGGTCTGAGTAGTGTTTTGTTCCCGTCTAATGAAAAACATGCATGTCCAGCCTGTGTTCGTATTTTTTTCCTTTGTCAAAAGGGGGAAAAAAATACAGGTTATCCCTCAAATTTGCATGTGTCAATTGTGCATGCGCATCGTCGTGCCGCTAACCTCAAACTCCACGTGACATTGACGGTGTGTCGTTCTCCCTCCAGTCTCCGACACTCCGACTCCGCCCCCGCCGCCGCCTCCGGATGACATGGCCATGTTCGACGAGTCCCCGCCACCGCCGCCCCCTCCCCCGGTGGACTATGAGGAGGAGGACGCCTCGGTGGTGCACTACAATGACCCCTATGCTGACGGAGACCCCCATTGGGCGCCCAAGAACTACATCGAGAAAGGTTGGTGTGGCAAACACCAAAATGCTCAATCAAACCACTTGATTTTTGCTTCATGAAAGTCTCCTAGCTTACTGCTAACATGTGATGTGAAATGACAGCTTATGGAAACTAGCATAGGTGTTGCAGTGATTTGAACCCTTTCAACAACTGCAACTTGAACTATGTCGAGGTTTATTTTGTATGAAATGAAAAACACCACCTTGCACACTTATACGTAAACCGAACAAGCTGAAATGTAATCGTTTCCACCTCTTCCCGCCAGTGGTGGCTATCTACGACTACAGCAAGGACAAGGACGACGAGCTGTCCTTCATGGAAGGCGCCATCATCTACGTGGTGAAGAAGAATGACGACGGCTGGTACGAAGGTGTCAGCAGCGGCGTCACCGGCCTCTTCCCCGGAAACTACGTGGAGAGCATCATACATTACGCCGACTAAACCAGAACAATTTATAAGTAAGATGACAAACAATTTGGTCTATATTGAACCCCTGTTGATTGTGGAGATACGTTGCAGTCCCACCCGCGCTATGGAGAGGACAATATGCTTTTTTTTTTTTTCTCCCTCCCCAATCAACTGCTACTTTGCACACATGTGGTGCAGCAACACATACAAACAACACTCACACGCCACACCCATAAAAAACAGTTGCTTAAAAGTCCGCAATTATACGGTTTGCACGAACGGTAAACTGAAATATATAGCGGAGGTTCACTGTATTTTTTTTTTTCTGGGTGGGCGCACGGGCGACATCAACAGTTGAAGGATGTTGGGAATATGGCCGACTGCTTTCAAGGGGTTCGATGGGAATTATTTCTTTAATTTTTTTTTCTTTCAGTCGGCGGTATTCTCTCTCTATGCTGTAATTTGTCCAACTCAACACTTCCTCCCTGAGAAAAGAGCAATTTCGAAGACAAAAAAATATTACCTTCAGTTTATTGACCTTACGTTTGTAATTGTATTCACATTTTTAATTTTTTTTTTTTTTTTGTATTACTGTTGAATCACTGAACTTGCAGAAAATGCAGATTTCGGGACCTCAGAAATTAAACACATTTGGCACATTCATGCATTTACATCCTTAAATGCAAAAAAGAAAAAACGAAATCCTGCCATGCGACGTTTACCTTCAGGTTCCCGATGGATTTGGTGGTGCCATACTGCATGTATGACTAAATGACCAATGAAATTTTCAAATTGAAGTGCTCCACAAACGAGGATTAGGTGAGTTGCTAAGCATATGTACATTAAATTGTAAAATAAATGAGGATGCCAACAACACATTGTTTTGATGGCATCCTTGTTTCTTTTGCTTTTTGGGGGGATGTGGGGGGGTATTTTACAAAATACACAGATGTTGCTTCGGAACACAGCTGCGTTGAACTAGGATATCAGGCATAACCAGATCAATACATAAAATGATAGTTTGGATTTTTCAATCGAGGCGTTAACGTTCACAAAGGGTGCAGCCGGCGGATGTTGCCGAACTCCCAGTAGCCTTGAACGCATCACTGAACTTGTCTTCGGGTTTTATCACGTATGCCGTTAGCAAAGCAGCATGTCGTCTTTTCACCCTGTTCAAGGGAGTAATTGGTCCAACAAGTGCATTCTCGGTTGTTTTCTGGCGTACTGTGGTCTGCGCGATGCTCTGTATCGTCGAAAGCCGTCTAAAAAAAATAAACATCGGGGCGAGGCGTTGCATATCGCTTTTGCCTTAACTCAGCCGTACACTTCCTGTTTGCATTGACCAATCAGAGACGAGAGCAGACTCACGTGATTAGTCGGAACGCATTCAAGTACTGTCCACGCTGATGTGCAACAAGAGGTCGAGCGGGGTGGACTGGCAGTTTGAAAACCAAACATTCCGCGTTCAACTTAACGCTAATGAGCTATTTTTTATATTTATATATATATATATATATATAAATAAAAGACCCAACTTTTTCTTACCTCTTGACGAGCATCCACTTTCATTCAGATGTAAACTCAAGAGTTCTCCGATTAGGTCGTTTTCTTTTGTTCCTTCAAATTTGCTTGTGCATTCAACAAGAAAATGTGGCTCGTCTAGTCAACTCTGCCCTTCATTGTATGTAAAATATGTTGATTTAAAAAAAAAACCTAATGTACAGTCTTTTATAATAAACAATTCTATGTACAACAAGCACGTGATGATTCATGAACACACGGTATGTTTTGCAATAAAATAAAAAAAAACTAAATGTTTTTATTGAGCAGTGGTTGTAGATGTTAAGGCCATGATTTGTTACACTTGTCACCCTTCAGTAAGATTTCAAGTACGGACGGATCCGGAGAAGGAATGACTACACAGTACAGTACATAGTGACATACTTTGCTCAGTGCTTCACTCGATTCCATGCAGAGCATTTAAAAAAAACCACCAGAACACACTCATACAGAGCCCCAAACATGATTTTTTTTTTCTTATGGACACAGAAAATAGGTATAATATACACACCAAATATACTGTGGCCACATTTACATGTGTGGGGCTTTGTACAGATGCCAGTTTGTTAGGTATCTCCGCAATAATCATGCGAGTTATATACAACACTGTATATAAAGGTACCTAATAAACTGCCTAAATAGTGCGTAGCTGTCAAACATGATGTGACTCGCTCTTTGTGTCGAGGTAGAAAGAGACGTCATTGATGGGGTTTCTCATGTCCGGTGGGGGGTGGGGGGGGCTCCGGGGTGTGCGTTACTTGTCCCTAGCAAGCACCATGTGAGTGAGCGCGATGAGGGCGTCCCTCTCGGCCGACGGCCGCAACCTGCTGATGTGCCTGATGGCTTCCTCGCAGTAACGCCGGGCCAGGAAGTTGGTCTGCTCCACGCCGTCACTCTGCTCGCACAAAAAAAAAAAATTATTATAATCATACAGATGTAACAGTTTCTTCTATGTAGTCGAATAATTCCTTTTTGTTTGAAATTGTATTTCAAATTAACCAATTTACTCAACTTAAACATGTTCAGTGCATGTCTAAATGGTTTATTTGACTAAGATTTGACTTCTAATAAATAAAACAATGATTTAATCAGATGAATAGACTTGAAAAAAATTAAGTGTTGCAAAGAAGAAGAAAAAAAAAGTGGCCGATTTGTGGTACCTGCACGACATACTGCCAGGCTCGGTCGACGTCCCCTTTGGAGCTGAAGCGTCTCATGATCATGGCGTGCAACTCCGGAAACTGACAAATTGAATGATAATTTTTTTTATTCGGAAGAAAAAAAACTTTGCTTATGGGTCGTGTAGTTTATCGAAACTAACTTGCTGACAAGCGAATAAAACGGGTCCCGTGGCCAAGCCCAACTTGAGATCGGCGGCCGACGGTTTGCCCAACTGACTGGCGCCCGCCGTGAAGTCCAACACGTCATCAACCAGCTATGCACACAATAATTACTTCATTTTGACTACTTTTCAATTTCCAGGAGCAACTCGAGTAATTTTATCTGCTTTTTTGTTAAACACACACACACTTAATCTTTAATTGTGTGCGACTTTTGCATTGATTTGCGACACCTGAAAGGCGATGCCAACATTCCTTCCGTACTGGTAAGCGATCTCGTGAACGTCAGGGTCCGCATTGACCAAAATGGACACCTAAGGTAAAAGACGAGAATGAAAAGGAGGAGTCCATCTGCGTGCGCTCACGGGTGTGGTGCAGACAGAACGTACATACTGCTTTGCAACTGTTGGCGATGAGGCTGGCCGTCTTCTTGAAGGTTTTCTCCAAGTAGTGCTTGAAGCGCTCGCTCTCGTTCTCTTTTGAGCCAAGCTGCATGAATTCGCCTGTGTCGCAAACAAAAATGATTTCAACCCCCAACTAATCGTGATTCCCCCCACCTTCTTCAATAATTGCGATTTAATGTGATTAATTTTTTCCAAGGTCCGTTTCCTATGTATAATTTTTTTTTTTTTAAACAAACAAAAGTGAATATACACACACTTTTGTTAAGGAATTATTACCTCTGACAAGGTCCTCAATGACCTGCGCCAACACTTTAACCACGGTGATGTTGCCGATGCGAGCCAGGGCCATTGAGGCAGCTGACAGAATGAAGTCTCCTGCTAAAATGGCCTTCAAGGACACGACACAGTCAAAATAACACGACACGTGATAGACTGCGACCAGAGCGAGCGCTATTTCCTGCGTACCTTCCTTTCGCCCCACAGGTCGTTGATGGTCCTCTTCCCTCGCCGCTTGTCCGAGCCATCGATCACATCATCGTGCACCAGGCTGGCCGTGTGGATCATTTCTGAGATCATGGCCACGGCACGCTGGCCGGGAAGTAAGTCTCTGGATGACGGAACGGAGGACATGTCATGCGCTACTCACGCCTAATGAACAGCTGGATGTGTGGGGTTTTTTTTTTTGTTTTGTTTTTTAAATACCCTGCCCCGTTGCTGTGGATGTTGAGGGCGCGGGCCATCAGGATGACGATCATTGGCCGAATGGCTTTGCCCTTCCCGTCAAAGTAGTAATCACATAAAGACTTGAGCTCTTCTTTAGACACAAACAGCTCCTGGGACAATACAGAAAACGTGTGAGAGTGAGCAGGATTCCCGAATCAAGTCGCTCAAATCCATTTACGTTATTTACCTTTTTGATGTCATCGTATAAGCTCATCAAGTCTTTCTGAGCAAGGGTGAAGGGGTCTTTGGGTTTGGCATCGCTGTGAATCTTCCTACAGGAACACGCTGGATACTTGTGTCTGCATGGAAAACAGACAGTATTACAAATACAATAAAATAAAATCACAATAGAATCACGTGTCACCTGGCGAGAGATAACGTTGTGGACCTCTGAAGGAAATTCTGGTTTAATTGAAACGATGGTGGCACCTAAAAAAAAAAAAAAAAAATTTCATCAGGCACTTATTTCAATGAAAAACGTGTTATCAACCCATTGGTCACAATTTTGCAAGTGACAAGTTTATTTACTTGTCAATGTCAATGAATGAATGAAGTGTATCAAGTCCAGCTTATTACCACTAATCTAAATTATAGTGACAAATGTTGAACATTATATCTGAACAGGAAATTATTTCTACTTGAGCCCATAAATGTCAAAACTAATCTGTTCATCGCAGTGAGATGACTGACAGCCGCATTTCACACTATGTAACCAGATGACCTTCCTTCCTTGTTTCCCCTTCCCGGTGTGACAGCGACTCCCACCGCCACCGCCGCACACTCACCTCGTCACCCCGCCACGAGTTCGAGGGCGTCCGCCCAGCGGACGCGGGCTCGAAACTGGAGAAGTGCCACTGAGCTTCTCGGACAGTCGCAGCGGCGCGACCGACGGTCCACCTCTGGCATTGCCGCCACAGTGGGCCCGCCATGTTTGCCGTGGCGAGAACCGCGGCAGGAAGAGGAGGGGAGGCAGCGACCGAGTGAGACTCGGAAACGGAAGTTGACAAGGCTTGTCATGTTTTTTACGGGACAGCTTTAAAAAGAAAAAAAAAAAAAGAAAATGACTCGTTGCTGTTTACTGCTAGCAGTGCGTGTTAATTTGTTACTATGATGATTGCAAAAAGATATCGCTCCATTTTGCCTCATCTAATATGGCGGCGGAGTGACGTTCAATACAATTTCCAACGCCAAGTCTCTTGCAGTGCTAGCATAGTACCAGACCTAGCTCTGCTAAATACTACAAGCCTGCTAACTGTCTAATTCTACAAGCTCGCTCATTGTAAGCCAATTCTGACCGGGCTCCCTTAGGCGGCAGAATTTATATAGGCTTCGAAACGTAATTAAGCTTCTAATAAGCTCTTTAGTTTACTTTTTGTTGTGACGAGGGCTGTAACGCTAGCTGTGTTGCTGACAGCAGCCGAGCACCACTGTAGTTGTCAACTATCAATAATGGTCAACATAATTTTATTTCACTGGTGAAACGTATAGTTATACGTTTTAGTTTAGTTAAAATGGTAACTATACATAGCTGTTTGTGGTGTAAAGTACATAACAGTGAGTTAGCTGTTTTTACACCTCATATGTATGCACAAACTCCAGTCGATGCGTTTTTCCTCCAGGCTCAAAATTTCATTTAATTATAGTTAGAGACATACAGTGTGGATCTCAAAATGTGGAGCCTTCAAAAAGTGTTACTCTTTACTGTAGTAACTTCAAATATGATCATCATAAGTGTCCACATGGTTGAGTTCTGCCAAAAGGATGAGCCCGACTGTCAAGGTCAGGACACGTCTCCGTCATCCCACATGATCAATTCCAGGTGGAACACGAGTATTTTGAACCTCAAACGCAACTTGGACCATTTCAGAGTTTCCTGTGAAAAGCTCAAGGGTAATAACACAGACTCAAGCTGCTCGTCATCAACATGACCCCTGATGTCCTGACGTCCTTCTTGCAGGGGCTTTTCCAATTGACCAAGTTCGAGGGAATTTCATTCGTTCTGTTACGAACTGCATTTTCTCTGAAGCCTTTCCGACTCCGCTGAAAGGTCCATTAAGACTGGCTGCAGTTTCGAAGGTGTTACTACAGTGCCTCCTTTTTAAGACCACTAATGTATATCCTAATTATATTCCATGAGTACCGGTATGTATATATCAGTATGTTGTACATTAAACCTGTTTACCGCCCCCGATTTATAGGATGCCTTGGAAGGGCTCTTGGATTTGGACGTGGCTGTGATCGTATCTGACGAATTCAGACAGTACGTCAGCGGAGGAAAACTTTTTCCTGGCTCTGAGCCTCTGGCACACAGATATGGAGGCCATCAGGTACACTTTTCACACATTTCTCAACCATTTTTTGAGAAGCAAAATTAACCTGTTGTAATTCTAAAGCAATTGTGGGTCCCTACTTTCATCTGTCATTAGTTTGGCTACTGGGCAGGTCAGCTGGGTGATGGTCGCGCACATCTTCTTGGTCACTACACTAACAGGTAAGAGAATATTTGAATAGAAATACTGTATACATGAATTGTATGTCTGTTTTATCAAATAGTCGAGATGAATGTATGACAACATATTTCCAGAAAAGGAGAAACGTGGGAACTGCAGCTCAAAGGTTCTGGAAAAACCCCGTATTCAAGGTACTTGGTTGCTGTTTTGGGTTCATCATGGGCAATCTGCCAGGATGAGACAAATGATTGACATCAGCATTCCTCTTAAGGTCCGGCGACGGCCGAGCGGTTGTTCGCTCTTCGGTCAGGGAGTTCCTGTGTAGCGAGGCCATGTATTTCCTTGGTATCCCTACCAGCAGAGCCGCCAGGTGAGAAAAGAAGCTGCGAAAAAGGAAGGAATTGTAAACTGTAAAGTTGCCGTTTCGATTTGAAAATGAATTTAAAATTTAAAAAATGCTGTTTATGTGTGACCAAAAATATCTTGTCGTCAAAAAATGTTTTGTATTCAAGAAAAAGTTATACGTTTTTGAATAAGTGAAAGAAAAAAAAAGTTTTCAAATGTAATATAAAATGGTTGAATATTTTCAAATAAAGAAAATCCTAAATGTTGGAGGAAATAAGTAAATAAAATAAGATAAAAATATTTTTTATATTTGAGAATTTGGTAGATAAAAGTAGTAAATTCTGATGAAAAATATTCGACAAAAGTTATAGATTTTAATTTTAGAAAATGGTATGTATTGCAGAAAAAAGATACACATAGAGAATCAAAAAATATATATTTGAGGAAAAAAATATTTGTGAAAAATGGTCAATTGTTGAGAAAAAAAATGATTGCCTTTTCTAGAATTTGTTTACATTTTTGACAAAAAACATTTGTGAAAAAGTTCCAATTTTAAGATTTTAAGGCACAATAAATGTCATGATATGGCTTTTTTTGTTGTTGTTCTCAGTTTAGTTGTGAGTGACGAGCCCGTTTGGAGGGATCAGTTCTACAACGGCAATGTGAAGACAGAGAGAGGTGACTTGGATTTGGATTTTTTGTGGGGATTGTGATCAGTACATCTTCTGGACAACAGACCGTATGACGTGCCGTATCGTGTCTTGTTATCAGGGGCCGTGGTGCTGCGCTTAGCCAAGTCTTGGTTTCGAATCGGCTCCTTAGAGATTTTGTCTCAAAATGGGGAGCTGGATCTTCTCAGGTGAGCAAAACAAAAAAATGACACTTTTTAAGAAAAAAAAGATTATTATTCTGTCAATTGTTTTTAATATTATTATTATTTTTTCTGTATTTCAGAAAGCTGCTCAACTTTGTCATTGCCGAACATTTTCCTTCCATCCATTCCAACAAGTCTGACAAGTATTTGGTGAGCGATTGTATAAGATGTTGCGTTGAACAGTCCAATCCACGAAAAGTATATTTTTATATTTTTGTCTAACAATTTGGTATTTTTCCCAAATCTTTTACTTTTTGGGTGCATTGTTTTTTGCTGTTTTTTTCGCTCATCACATAATATCCTTTTTTTTTTTTTTTTTCCTTTATATTTTTGCTTTTTTTTTTTTTCAGCGTTTTTTTAATTGTGTGCGTGCTGATACATGCATGCCTGCAATTGCAATATTACACGCTATGTGCATGTTCGGTTTGAGCTAGGAGCATGCGCGTACGCTGATATGCATGCATGTGCCGGCATATGAACGATCTGTTCAGTCAGAAGTGCCGGTGCGGATTGTGTGCAAAAAAGCGGAAATGACATGTTGCTGCGAAATTGCAGAAATACTGTTCATTTGATTTCAGCCACACACTTTAGATGGTGTGAATTGAGGTTTGCTAACGGATGCTTGCTTAACATTATGGAGGCTCAGTCACGATAGCGCGATGTCGGCATCGCGCTATCCGTTAGCCGTCGAGTGGAACTGCTACGAGCTACCGCTTAAGCTAGCTATTCCGTCGCTAACAACTATCTTAAAAAGAGCAAATTTTTTTTTTTTTTCATATTTTTTTTTTTTTTGTTTTTTTTTTTTTTTTTTTTTTTTTTTTTTTTTTTTTTTTTTTTTTTTTTTTTTTTTTTTTCCTTTATATTTTTGCTTTTTTTTTTTTTCAGGCGTTTTATACATCGGTGGTGAATGACACAGCCTGTCTAATGGCTGAATGGATGTCAGTGGGGTTTGCGCACGGTAAGAAGCTCAAGTGCCTCCCTCGGACGTTTGTCCGCAGACGAATTGAAATTTGCACTCCGTCCCCGCAGGCGTCTGCAACACCGACAACTTCAGCCTGCTGTCCGTCACCATCGACTACGGCCCGTTCGGCTTCATGGAAGCGTACGACCCCGGTGCGTTCACGCACCTTTGTCAATTACGCGTTCGTCCGCCGATGAAAGCTGTTTGAGATTCTCGAAATTGTCGCAGATTTTGTGCCGAACACGTCAGACGACGAGGGAAGGTACAGTATCGGAGCTCAGGCCCATGCGGGACTCTTCAACATGGAGAAACTATTAGATGCTCTCAGACCGCTGCTTTCTGCAGCTCAGCAGGAAGTGTAAGTAACCCTGTCATTTTATAATTATTCCTCAACTTCTACACGCATGGGCTGCAACATAAAATCAATGCTGGCCTTCAAAAGGAGTCTCTTGTTTATTTTCAGGGCTGAGATGGTTTTAAAGACATTTCTTGACATTTACCAAACGAGGTAGGGTGAACTCTCCATGTCAATTACTGGAATACTGTCATACGGTAATACATATTTATTTCTGAAATGTATCTGCTTCTAGGATGCAGCAGCTCTTCAAAGCCAAGTTGGGCCTCCTTGGGGAGAACACGGAAGATCAACGTCTGGTGGAGCACCTGCTTCAGGCCAGTTTTTACTCGCACGCGCCACACACGCAATGACACACAAAATATGATTAAAAAAATTTTTTTTGCTGAAATATAAATAAAACAAAACAAAAGCATTAAAGAAGTACATCGATGCATGAAAAGAAATAGAAAATCTAACAAATACAAAAATTAAAAAAAAATCACCCCTCCCCCAAAAAATCTAAAATTTTAGGAAAATAGAAAAGTAGGATAATTTACCCCAAAAAATATTTTATGAAAAATACAAAGAAATCAGATGATAATAAAAATTTGTCGAAACAATGCAAAAATATTCCTCGACTCTAAATACACATGGATTATGTAAATACAATATAAAGGGGGAATTTTTTAAAAAGTAATTAAAAAAATAGAAAAAAATAGCTAAAACATAAAATACAGAAAACTGTATTAATATGAATTTAACATCGCATACAAGAGCTATATAAAAAAAAAATGACGTCTTCGCTAACAAACACAAGTCTCACATTTGATTGATGCGGTCAAATGGTTATTTAATTAATAATGTCTATTTTCATGTGCTTGCTCATCTCATTCACGAGGGTCAAAATATTAGAAACAGCAGTAGAATGTTGCTAAAAGATGGAACATGTTTGCGTTTCATCCAGTTGATGGAGGACACGCGAGCAGACTTCACGATGACCTTCAGGCAGCTGAGCGAGGCTTCAGCTCATCAACTGCGCCGCAGGAACTTCACACAAGTGCGACTCCGCTCCTCTCTCAGCATCTAACTCCGTGTTAGAATAATGTCTCCTTTTATTTTATTTTTTTCTTCTTTTTCAGGCCTGGGCTCTCCAGGATTTGGCCTCGCACGGACGCTTCTCCGATTGGCTGAACGTGTACCTGCTGCGCCTCGGCAGGCAAGCCACACACAGTAGAAAAGATCCACACAGTGCTTTTAAATATAAATCCATCACAACAACTTGACATGTGTCCATAAAAGTATATAAACAGCGTAGAATGATTGTGGTGTCACGCGCCTATTTGTTGTTGCGCAGGGAGACGCATGATGAAGATGAGGATCGTCAAGCCAGGATGAAAAGTAAGCACACAACTGCAATACAATACGCATGCAATACAACACCACATGAATGCAGATCAGCTGTGATTGGCCTCTGGTAACATGCTCGAATGGGACACTTTTAGATAAAACTATTCAGAAAAAAAAATGTCTTGGTATGATAGTGATAGCCAAATAGCATCATTGTGGAAGTCATTTTCAACAACAATGACAAAAATCCATGTTTTCCTAAAACATTCAAATATGACTTCGGCACATATGCTGTTATGCTAAGAATAGTGTCTCTTAATTGCCGGTGGGTGCTCAGGTATCCTTGTGAGTTTGTGTCGTGACAAAGTGGTGTAACAACGCTGTCGCAGGTGTGAACCCGAGATACGTGCTGAGGAACTGGATGGCAGAGTCGGCCATTCGCAAAGCAGAGAGGAACGATTTTTCAGAGGTAATGTTTTTACATTTGGTGCTACTCAGAGCTAAGAGTGGGCATTTAAATGAAATGGAAAAAAAAATGCAATAATTTTAGAAACTGTACAAAAATATATTTTATATAATTTTTAAATGTTTTTTAAAATTAATTGAAAAACTAATGGCTAAAACAAAAAACTGACTGTAAATATTGTCTCCTTTATCTTCAGCTTTGTTGTCTTTTTTTTGTGCGTGGGTTGGCTGTTGTTGCTTGTGCCCACTAGGTGGCGCTGCTTCATGACATTCTGAGGCAGCCTTTCCTGACACAAGCGTCAGCAGAGCAGGCGGGCTACGCAGACAAACCTCCCTGGTGGGCCCACCAATTGAAAGTCAGCTGCTCATCATGAGTCGCTAACAGTATGCAGGTGAAAAAAATAATCTGCAATTTACGGTCATCGCTGTATCTATTTATTTTTTTGTCCGTTTTTTTTCCCAAATACATATGAGTATTACACTTTTTTAGAATCAGGCTGTCGGTTATGGCACATTCACAATAAAAAAAAACTGATAGTGTCAGAGGTTCAGTGGCTGAAAATAAATTTGGGGTGTCTAGTATTTTGTTATCTTTGCCTTATGTGTCATTTTTCTAATTTGTATTTCGGTCTAATATCTATTTTTTGCTTATGTACAGTATTTTGTAAAATTTTTGACGTAAACACCTCATATTTTTTAGATACTTACCTCCTACCGAATGCTTTGACTGTTGCCATTCCCATGAGCTATTCATCACATTATTTCAGGATTTTAGTCATCACCGAATAGAACTTTATTTACAGTTTTTTTTTAGATGCAGCATTTAGTTTTTAAAGACTACTTACATGCATGTAAACCTGATCCCAGAATATATACACCTCTTGCAAACAATGTTGGCTTCAAATGTCAAACAGTAAACTTAATGGGGGTCACGCTTCTTCTGCATAGCGCGCATCAGTTCTGACATAAAGTCACCGCCACCTCCTCCATCGCCATCTCCTCTATCGCCATCTCTTCTTCCATGAAGAGAAGGCGTAGACCTCTTAGGCGGAGGCGGCGGCATCTTTTTCAACGACCCAGAAGGCCTCACCGGAGCCCTTCGGGGGCCAGCGGCAGCCGTTGTGGGAGGGGGCGGAGGAGGTGGTGGTGGTGGAGGCGGCACCCCCGTGAGCGGAGGCGGTAAAAATCCTGGATCAGGAGGTGGCGGCGGCAGGTTCGTGCTCTTGAAACTTAGACGAGCAGGCGGTAGGGTTTTCATGTGAGGCGGGGGAGGCGGTAGGGTCTTCACGGGTGGCGGAGGAGGTGGATGCGAGCCAAAATTGGCCGCCGGAGGAGGTGGAGGAAGGAAGTCCGGCGGAGAGTCGTCGACGGGTGGCGGAGGGGGAGGCGG